GCATTCCGGCAATGAGTGTCACGCAGGAAAATAAGATGCGTGACATCTCTATGGAAGTAACAGCTTGAAGGATATGTACAATTACAAAAGGCGTCCAACAGGCCGCAAATACAAATAGCACCGTGAAGACAATTCTTGCTGTTTTCGTTTCGCGTTGAAAGTTTCTTTCCACTTCTCGTCCATTGTTCCAGCGCTGCATTTGCTTCTTGTGAAAACGAACTTTGAGAAATACTCGCAAATAACAGTAAAACATTATTAAGAGTGGTATCAGAAAACATGCGACAGCCACCAGCAGAATGTAACCTTGGTCCTGAGTAAAGGACATTTTACACATAGTGCTCAGAGATGAATGGACATATTTGTTCCATCCAAGGACTGGTAGGACACCCATGACAATGGACACAGTCCATACCGTGGTCAGTAGTGCCCAGGCCTCTTTCGGCCTGAGTTTACGTCCAGGTTGGGAAACTATGGCACGATACCTGAAATTAAGAAACGTTTAAGTCTTGATAAATTTTAGTGGAAATCAACCGATCAGTTAGATTAGTAGCGTACGCAAGGTCTGTTCCTTAATGCGACTAGTCCAAAATGTATAAGCTACATATTTTAATCAACACCGTTGTAGATGCATCTCACCAGAAAAGAAAAAGTATTAATGCAGGCCAGCTAACTATCAGGTAGACACTAAAAAGGGCTCTTGTACTGGGGGATAGCCAGGACGAAAAGAAGCGAAGCTTAAGGAAAAGGGGAGCGAGACTGAAGAGCCTGTGGACAAAGCCTTGACATTATAATGCCCGGAAGCCTTACCTTATCCTGTATGTCACCTGTGTCGGTTGTGAAAGAAAGCAGTTCAGCCTAAGGAATAGTTCTCCCAAGCTGAGAGAGCAGGTTAAGTTCTCACCTGTCAATACTAATGGCTGCCATGGTAAGAATGGATGCCGCTCCAGCAATGACGTTAACAGCGCCATTAAACTGACACAACGCATCCCCATAGATCCATCCCTGTAACAAAACAGTGGCGACAGCGAAAGGAAAAAGCAGCAGCCCAATTAACAAGTCGACTACAGCTAGATTTGAAATGAACATATTAGCCACGCGTACTCTTGGTCGAGTTCGTTGACGGTAAATTACCAGCAGAACAAGAATATTTCCAATAACTACAGCAGCCATTATAAGTATGGTCAATGTAGCTTGCAACGCGCCGGTCGTCAGGTTGTTGGGCGGAGCATTATTTTGAGTAATCAGAGTTTCGTTCCTTCCTGAAGAACTCATCATTGTCTTGTTGTTACGCTCGTGTCTGTTCGTGGACTAATTAACCCGTCCTGTAGTAATCAAAACAAAATTTTAAGAACGTAGTTATGTCACGACCGTGGGAACCCATTATTCCCCACGACACCAGACGCGCTAACTTCGGAGCTACTTAGGATTTCTTAGGTAAGCTAGGTTATTTGCTATGCGATCAGTACTAGAAAAACTTTTATAGCAGAAGCGTGGGGGAAATTGCCAACAGTTAAAAATAAATTACGGAGAAAACACAGAAAAGGAGGGATAAAAACAAAAAATACTCTTAATATATCTAAAAGAATTTAAATAATTAAAAATACTTAAATACTTTTTGCACAGACTTGAACTGGCGGGACTGTCGCCCAGGCTATAGTAACGCACTGATCCGCAGTTTCGAAAATAATTTTTTTTTTAAATTTTAGATCTGGTGGAGCGTCAAAACGTAATGGCTATTAAGCAAACTAATAAGCCAAAGACGCGAATTACGCCAACCAATTTATAAACCTCGCTAGGCTCCTGCTTTCACGAGGGCTGATAAGTGATAAAAGCTGATTTTTTTTACCATTTAAAGAAGAAGTGCATGAACAAAGGGAAGAAGAAATTATCCCACCCAGCCTTTTCTGAGCAGAATTCTACTTAGAATGAATCAAGTCATAGAATTACCAGGAAAAAAGAAATCAAATTGATCTTCCTTGCCCTGATGAACCTTGTGGTTTCAATGACGTTCATAATGTGTACTAAAATAAAATTGTCGTTTACCCTTGACATGCGAAATTTCCTATTGCGTTTTATCTTCTGTTTTCAGAAATGGTTTTTAAGGACTTTTAAGGCAGGTTAGTTTTTTTACGCAGGTCCAACATCGAAGCGAGAACAAAAGCAACGAACGAAGTAATAGTCTTACATTGGTGCTGAGAATTACAAAACGTCACTACTTTATTTGCTACACTGAATTCTATCCAGTTGCAAGATTTCACCAATGCCTACTGCTGTCTTTCGGTTTAACCTTTTTTGTGGGCGGAAATCCTACAATTTGTCCCAGAGATAAACATGTCTTGCATTATATCAACTAACCTTCAAGAAGTGTAAATTGCCATCTCAGTTTTTTCGGTTTGGTTAGTGAAAAAAGCTGAAAAGGGATCACACAAAAGTCGTTCTCCAAAGTTCATGAAAGATGATATTCTATCACTTGCGTACTTTTTATGTAACAATTCCCCTTTTGATAGCTTACTTAAAACTCGGGATATTGAGAAATTTACTTCTAAGAAACACAATTAAACAATTTGTATTATACAAAAACTTATCCAAATAGGCAGCTGGCTCGAAGCTGGCCTTAAATAGTGTTTATTTGGACAGTTAATTGCCATATGTTATCCATATGCGTTTGAAAATCTCGATTGTAAGTATACCCCGTTTTTCATTGTACATTTTAAGCGAATTAGGATGTGCAGTATTTCTTAGAAAGTGTTGTTAGGCACGTAGGTAATACACGATGATTTTTCTTTTTACTAATCTAGCATAATCTATGTAATGGGAAACGTCATGTACAAAGCTTCTTAAGATATTTATTAACAGTCTCCGTAAAATAATGTATGCTTGATTTGTCCTTTCTTAAAAACAGTTGTCCCTTTTGCTATTATTATCCTGTCATTTTCTTTCCGCAAGTTGATCTTTAAACAAATTAAACAAGGAAATGCCTACTTTAGAAATTCAGTTATTATGCAATGATTTTCGGTGGATTTCTTTTATCTTACAATCCAATCTGTTTAACTCTGTTTTTGCGACTAAGTTGCTTAGAATTTGTCCTCCTTGTATCCGCTTATGTTTTCTTTCTAGCCTGCGACGAAGAGCGAGGAGAAACGGATGTTTTCGCAAGCTAGTTTTCTTTCACGATCGATTGCCGAAACTGTCCGTATGAATATAAAATCAGTTTCAAATTATAAAAAATTAATACTTGGCTTCGAAGGTGAGGGATTTAGAGCGAATGAACCGGCATAATTCAGACATTTTGTTTTGTTTTATACTATCAGCCCCGAAGCCCTGAGATAAGTACTTAAATATATGAAGACTGACGTATAACGAACAGTGAAAATTATAGGGGCGAATTTCAAAGAATTTGAAATAACTGCCTCATTAATTTGAGCCAGGCTCTCCGTCAGTGTAGACGAGCGAAAAAAGTCCAAAAAAACGCTAGCGAGCGAAAAACAGCGGGAAGAGGGAACGATCTCTCTCTAGCACAACCTTCTCTCTAGAGCTTTTTCCAATTCCTAAGGGAAAAAGCTTGATTAACATCGGTTTGTGTATTATGTCATGTTAAATTTCAAGTTTAAAGTAAGGATAGCGCTCTTTGATCTTCTTGATTTCGGTGCGCACTCGTTAAAGTACCCTCTTGATTGCTGCAAAACATAAGAAAAATTAAATTAGAACCTTGGAGAGCAAAAGCCGTCAGCCCGCAGTCGAGATTCTGTTAACACACAAACGTTTTTGGCCGAAAGCATATCGTATACAGTTTTGTTGAGTTCGTTATAATGAGTTACGAGAATAAACGCCTTCCCTCTATTAAACGCTCCCTCTTGGACCCCTTAAATTTAATAAACGCCCCCTGGCGTTTAATAGATCACTTATGGTATCTCTATGACTCCAAGAGCTGCGTCAATTGGAGTCTTGTACTCCTGGTAGGGCCAACCATGCGGAAAAGGTTGAAGGGTAGAAACCAGACAGAGTGACCTCTTGGTCCTCTATGGGCTGTCGGTTTTACGTAGGCTAACGGCCTCTAGCCTGCGTGCAGACGATAACTAAACTCTGATTAGTACCGTCTGCGATAGCCTGCGAAAACATCCGTTTCTCCTCGCTCTTCGTCGCTGAGGACGAAGAGCGAGGAGAAACGGATGTTTTCGCAGGCTACGTCTGCGAAGCAGCGCAGAGATCCTTGTTCTGAACCCCCAACGGACTCAACGAATTACCGCAAGTGCGTTTCGAATTTCCCTTCAACCTGATTGGCGATCACGACAAACAAAACAAAGGCCTTTTTTAACTGGCCAATCGTGGCGCGTACTCAAATCTGGGTACACAGCTGGAAGTCCAGAACAAGGATTTCGGCGCTGTTTCGCAGACGGAGTTAACCAGAGTTTAATTTCGTCTGCGCGCAGGCTAACGGCCTCCAGCTTTTGATCAACTGGGGCCTGCAAGAGAGAGCTTGAAGCAAACATTTTCATGGTGACACCATTTAATAACAACAACCAGAATATTTGCTTCATTCCGCTGAACTGCAAAATACCGGCTATTGGTCTTTCTTCTCAAGTGGGATTGAAAAGAATTATGCAACAAAGCAAAAAACAAAAAGAAATTTTGTTTCATCTTTAAATGATGCTTTGAATCATTTTCTTTCCCGAAAGTCACCCAACCATAAGAAGCGTATGAGTGCAACCCAAACCGATCAAACCTTTAATTTGATTGGTTTTGCATTATGATTGTATGAGACTGGCATTAAGGAAATAAAAACTTTGACATGTCAGAAAAATAACAAAGACAAACCTTTTTCAGTGGGAACAATAGTAGCGTCTTCCCTTTTAAAAGATGCCACCACAAATTTGGAAAATGTTAAACAGAATTATTTTTTAATTTTCGAACTATATACATAAATACAATTCTTTTTTAACAAGTGCAAAAATGTTAAAATATTTTTCTCTTTACATGAAATGAAATGAAATAAGTTGAAAGACTGCTACATACATTACTCTGATCATTATTCAACTGAATCGTAATTATTATTATATTGATTGTAACTTTTCCATATGTATTAAAATACAAGTGATGAATTTAAATACTAAATTAACATTAACAGTCAACTCACTATATGATGGCCACTGTTAGACCAGGTCTATCTATCCATCTTAAATGTTATAGTTATGGTTAAATGACTGTCAAACCCAAAAAGCAGGTACCCATCTTGTTACAAGAGACAGTTACCTGTATGCAAATAAATGATCAAAAGGATCCCAAAAATTACAATGTAACTACAAGTAATTAATATCATTCTGACCGTAGCAGGAAAAAAGGCTTGAATAATAATATTATTATTACTGCAATGTTAATTCCATTCCTTATTCCTGTCTCTAATCGAGAGGTAAAATTTACAGCCTGTACAGTGCATTCTCTTTATAATTTAAGTACCAAGGCTTCAAAAACATGGAATTATTGTTTCCAATCAAATTCTCCCAGCATCTCTAATTATGTAATCAGTTTTAAGCAATTACTTTAAGTCTCAATAATAAATATGTACTCTCCACCAACAAAAAAAATACATCAAACAAATTTATGATCGTAATACTTTTTCATGTATGATAATAGAATTTTATCCGAAATGAGAATTCAACTCTATTAATAAGCTGCTAATGACTTAATAAATTTATATTTATTATTTTTTTACTACGACATTAGTGACTTAATTCTATCTGTTAGGAAATACTGTGCATGCTCTTAACTTGTGAAATATAAGGTGCACCTAAAGGCCCACGTTGAAGTAACTTGTACATTTATAAATATCAAGTCCCAAGGAAGATGTTGTCAACTGCAGAGCTAAGCTCTGATAAATTTATAATGAGAATCTCCAGGTTGCTGGGTGACCCATATCGTAGAGACAATGCTTGCAGGAGGCATGGCCAAGTGGTCTGTTAGCATGTTAGACTCACCATCTGGTGGCCTGAGTCCAGCTCTGACCACCAGCTGAATTTGTTTCCTGCAAGTCTCAGGATGAAATCATTGGTCATGCTTATAAATAGCCACCTGGCTGCCTCCTACCAGTTGTTTTTTATTTTTTTAATTCTGTTCTGTTCCATTTGGATTATACGTTAAAAAATTATTTGAGTGGGGTGCCTGTGATCTACTAGACTACGAATAGTCTCCCATTTTTCCTCAGGGATAGTAGAGCGAGCAAAACGTGAGCGGGCGTGAAAATCACCCACGCGTGAAAAGGCGACACGCGGCGGGGAGAGAGAAAAATTTCTCTCTCCCCGCCACAGGACTACTCGTAGTCTAGTGATCTACTTAGCTGGAGTTTTTGTAGTTCAGTTCCACTCAGTTCCCTTTTTTTTTTTTTCATTTCCCTTTTTTTGAGGGCAATATTTTATAAACAATGTTAAAGTATGGTATTTGTTGGTATCAAACATGTTATAAGGAAAATTTATTTTGTATTGAATATGTGGCTATTGGTGATGTCTTCACCACCAAGAGAATGAAGAAAATAAAACAGTAAAACGGGAATATTAAAATATAGATGTTGCACTGAAGTCACAAAGAACTTGAAAAGTTAAGATTAAAGACAGTGATAATGATGATGATGACTTAATGAAAATAATAATGAGAATGATAACAAAAGAAATCCTCAGTGTGTTATAAACAAAATTCAATTCAACTCAATCAGCACCTGAGATGCTGTTAAATATGAAAATGTTATAATTATTTGTACCCTTCATTATACACATTTTATTTCTCTCTTTACCCTCATTTATTATTTTTTGGTGTGGTTTTAGTTCACTGTGTTTGACTTTCTATCATTAGCAAACTGCTGTAACAACTTACAAAGCTTTACTAAGCTTCCCACACTGACAATTGAAGAACTAAACAACTGACCAAAACTGGCTTAATAATTGTAACATTAATATTGTTGTTGACAAGAATCGCAAAAGCAATTGCTGACTCTAGTCCCTTTAAAACATCTTCATATATAAGTGTACTAAGAGCACACATTCGTCTGGATAATTTTTTTTAATACAGTCAAATAGGGATAAAGGTGTCCATTGCACTCTACCTACAGCAACATGCACTCACTCAGAATATTAATTCCCTTAGCTTTTATCAGATATGATACCAGTTTCTTGGGTCTTTACCTCTGTGGAACCTAGATATTTGTCTCTGATTTCTTCTAGAAGCCTAATCAAGTTCTTTAATCCAAACAAATATCCTGAATCAGGCCCATGGCGTACAGGATCCCCAGCAAAAACACCATATGTTGTGTGAGCAAAATCAATCATTCGCACATCCACTTTGCAAGAATGATGGCTGTTAAATTTGCCATTCTTGTTTAAACTGCAGGAGCTGCAACTTCTGTTAATATTCTCCTTTTGTCTATTGGTGTCTTGTTCTTTTTCTGTATGACAACTGCATTTCCTTTGCATGTCTCCTTCGTACATGAGGAGTAGAGAACTTGAGTAGAATCTGTATGAATTTTGCTTCTCAATAACTTTGTACAATTTTCGGAGTTTATAGAGTAGAGGTTCTATTAGCTCCATTCTAAACTGTTCTCCATTGTGCAGGAAAGTCACAAGTTCCTCTCTAAAACCTTCTTGACATAATTTCAGGCCATAATATTTGTTCCGACACATAAACCTTCCTGATCCACTGTTATACACCTAGAAACACAACCCAGTGAAAGTCAGAAACATGACAGAGCAGAAGATATAACTTTCAGATAAAATAAATTAACTTAGAAACCAAATGTCGTTAAAACTACTGAAGGAATCTCATGTTAACAGACTTTCCTGACTCAGAGTGCCTCCCGAGAATACATATCACAAGGGGTACACAGCATAATACCTGCATTCCACCAGCTCTAATTCCAAGAGTCTTAGAAGTCGAATGCTCTGCTTTAGCTATCTGTCTCTCTCTTTTGTCACTTGGTGCATCATCTCCGTGATGTCGTGTTCCCATTTTCAAATCCAAAATACAGGGAGTTGAAAATCTATGTGCAACATTCTCCAACACAATGAATGCTAATCACAGTTAAGGTCAAGATAGAACACATAATACTGGTACAGAACAAATACCCACAAAATTAATGATGTAATAGATGCCGGGGCATTAATTTAATTTTAAAGGTCCAAGAGGTAGGCTTTAATAGTTAGGAAGCATTTAAAAAGAGTTAGGTGTTTCAGCGTGCAAAGAAAGTGGTGTCCGATAGCCCGGGGCTACTGGATTTTGCTACTAGGCTAGTGATTTCTATTCTTAACTTGCCCGATGGGCAAATGAGGTTTTTGGGCAGAACTCAAATTACAGGAGAACTGTAACCAATGCTCATCAAAAATTTTTTTTGGGCTAGTTGAAATGACTTTTGGGCTAATACTTGCTAGCTACAGCTTTCCTGAATGGCAAGCTGTACAACTAACTTTCTTTGCACCCTGTGTTTATACCTATTTAACAAGCTCAAAAAAGTAATATGGATTTGGTGAAAATATCAAGACAGTTTAAATACAGCGGAATATCCAGCCTATCAATGATCCATCTAGGCTATCTAGAGATCCACATTTCTCTTACCAATCTCAACAATGATGTTAGAATCCTCACTAAGCAACATTGTGTTGTGATCATTAGTCTATTCATGCTTTGAACTTGCCATTGAATGAACATTAAAAATACAATGTGCAAACCCTTATTAATCATGATCAGGCAAGAAATTGAGTGAATAGAATGATCTTTCTTTTATGCTTATCCCCAGTTTACTAGATAAGAGGCATTCATTTGAGAGTGTATTAGCTCTGCATTTACAAAAATCAACATGATTACCCAACAGTTGCCATCTCAAAATATTTCCTGGCAGCTCAAAATCTTTGTGTTAAACATAATTACTTAACTCAAAGTGTTTGGTCAGAAGTAGATAAGCCAAATATCACAATATTGAAAGCTTAAAAGGAAAAGGATACTGTGTGTTTTTGAAGATGATCCCAGTTCTCTCATTCTGCTCAACTGCTCTTTGTGACAATGTAAACTCCAAGGGTTAACTCCAGCACTTCCTAAAACAACAAGCAATAGATAAGTACTCATGAAAGGTATGAAATCAGATACCCCAGAACTATCTTAAAAAGAAAGAAATAATAAATTCTTATCGCTGACTGGGAGAAATAAATGTTGCCACATGTAAATAATGTATATAACAATCTATGCAAAATACCAATTTCACCTAAAATAGAAAAATGATATGGTCCATTCCAAAAAACAACAGTCTACAATGTACAGTGTATATTGTAAAATAGTGGGGAGATTATTTTCCAACCACTTAGAAATTATTTTCTTAATTATTCATTGTCATTAATTCAAATAATTATGCAATACAGTGTGGAAGCACTCAGTACTACCATTAAGTGTAGTTCCCACTGGCATAACAGCTTGTACTATAGGGTTTCTGCTGTCAGGCCAACCATGAGAGACCATATCTAAAGAAGTAAAATACATGGTTTGTTCTAATTTCTTATAACCAATAAGTTCTCTTCAGTACACCTCCTCAACCATCTAAAAACCAAACACATGGGATGTGCAAGAAAAGTTTTAAATTTTCTACTTTTAATTACTTTTTCTTCTATGCAATAATTTTTTAGTTAAAAAAGAGATGCTTATCTGTTAACCCTATTCAGACTGGGCTTTTTTGGTCAATCTGTGACTGGGGGGGGGCTCCTCGGACCTCCCCTCTGTATCTCTGGAACCAATAATGCTAGGGTCATGAAATTTACACACAATGATCATTTCCGTACAAAGAAGCCCCACACCCAGTTTTGACTTGCCACGCCCAATGATGATGTCACAGTGACATCATATTCCGATTTTTCAATGTTTCTTATTATTTTTCCACTTAGATACGTAAAATATCAATAATATCGGTAAAGTCATCTCTTTGTTATCCTTTCTTATGAACTAGTAACAAGGAAACACTTGTACAGCGAGAAAAAGCAATAGGAAGCAATAAAATTTAAAATTTGAAATGGTTTTAGGAAAAGTCAGAAAATTTGAACGTCATAGCTCTGTCGGTGTAGGAGTTATCACGATTTTGCTGGAGGGGGGGTTCAAAAAGCCCCCCCCCCCCAGTCTGAATAGGGTTAATTTAAGAAGACATTTGAGCTATCCTTTAGAGAACGTCTATTACAGTGTAAGTTTCCATCAAATTTAACAAAATCTTGACTAAGGATTTGGTTAGTCACTATCTTGCACATCCCTAATATTAACTGCAATAATTCAAGAAGAAAAACAAAGGAATTCTTAAATGCCAGAGAATTTTGAATTTCTTCAAGAATTATAAAATTTTAATCCACTTGTATATCAAAAACTCGACACAGTGTTTCATCAAAATAATATCCAGGCAACTTGATTCTTACGCTTGATGTTTGGTGTCTGGAAATCAGAAACCAACACTGAATCTCGTGTTTGATACATCACCGCAATCAAACTAAATCACTATACATCCAACCTGATGAAAGGTCTGGCATATCCCCTGCTTCAAACAATCCATCTGGTCTAGTATTCACCAATTCAAGTTTCCCACTTTGAAGGCGGACCCTGAAAGAAACATCAGCTGAAATTAAGGAGAAAGAACACTGCACGCTCAAGTTGTAAGGCCTTTATTCAAAGACTACTGTTCGTTTACCCCACTTGTGCTTGGTGAAAGATACCTCAATTTGGTACCCACCAGAATGTAGTCTGTGAGGAATACATGTATTTGTGAGAACTAATGCTAATCAAACATGAGACAGTGTTCTAATATCAAGAGACTGAGAAGTCAACTTATAAACTAAGAAAACAACAGTGAAATATGCATATCCTCTGAATATAATGAGACAATTATTGGTAAGATAATAGCAGGCGTTTTTGGAGGAAATGTTGTCTGCAGCAAATACTACGGTGTTTGATCCACACAATGTAAAGAAAAAAAGTTAAGCATTACTTTGAATCAATTTAACAAATTGATCGACATCAATTTTCCATGGTCTGTACACTTGCCGGCCATAGAAATGACATAAGAATGGTCAAAACTCAAGTAGAACCCAGAACCACAGGAAACTCGTTTCAATGCAAAGTTTTGAACATCTTGAGGTCAATTCTATGGTGGATAAGATTACAGACCAAGGAAAATTGTTGTCGATTTGTTTTTACAATAACATCGACAGTTTTGACATCCATTTCTATTGAAGTTTCTTGGAATAACAAATTGTGCCACCATCATGTCACTTCCATGGTCTGTAATCTTATCAAACATAGCTCTCAAACAATCAGGGTGCCAGTAATCCTTCATTTATTTCCCATCTTACAAACTGTTTCAAGTTTTATCTTACACGTACATGTATTTACCTGTGCAGGCCTTTCTCTGGAGTGTAATCTCCCTCATCTTCCCCACTACTACCATCATTGTCTGAATTAGTGATGCAGAATTTGGTCGAGCCCTCCTTTTTTTGGCACTCTAAAGCCAACTTGTCTGGGTGTGCGGTAAGATAAATATAGCCATCCTTGTCCTCTTTAACACTTACATAAACCACTCCTGTTTGTAGTAGCAGCAACATTTTGTCATAAAGACATAATTGAAATGTTTTATAAGTCTATTTATTATTAAAAATAGACATTCCAGGAGGCATATACGTGAAGCTGAGGCGCAAATGGACAATATCATACAAAACACTGTACTTTGTCCACCTGATAGCTTTGACACTAAAATGCAGAAAAGGGTCTAACACAGAATATTGTTTGCAAAAACAATAAGTAACTCTTAATGTGGTCAGACTATCCTTTAGGAAACAAGGAGAATTTATTTTACTTTGTTCCAATATAATAAAAACAATCTTCAATACATTTAAATTTTTAAGAAGAATTTAATTTTTAAATTTTGTGGCAAGCAATGACCACAAAAATGTTATTTACATCATGCAAAAAGAAAGATGGAGATGTATAGCAGAAAAAAAGGGTCAAACAAACACATTCCTCCGAGTTAGCAATATACAGATGATCTTTCTTGGCAGACTGCAGAGGAAGAGGGAAAACAAACCAAAGATTGCATGACAATAGCCTTTATGCAAATAATTTTTTAAAATTGTAGGCAATCAGCTGAACAAAATAAACTGATTCATGATAAAATGCACTTGATTCACAAGTCAAGCATGTCATGTAAGGCAACATTCTGCGATGGGTACACTTTCATAAAAAGAATAACGAGAGCAAAAGAATAAAGTGTGCAATGTTTACAAGAAGATTTTTTACCAGGAACCTTTTAGCATTATTGTCAAATGGAAAAAAGATAGGCCTAATCACAAGTTCGCTCCCTTATAACGGTCAATTCTTTCTTTGACTTAAGAAACAACAAGAAACGATTTGGTCATTTTCACCTCGAACATGTGTAAACACGATTTTTATGTATGGTGTTATTGACGATTTTGATTTGAATGTAGCTTTGGGTTGTATCAAGTTTACATACACAGTTGGGGGCGACAGTCTCGACGAAGATCTCTTCTCACCCGCAGAATTTGAACAACCAATAACAAAAAGCAAAATGCAGGTTTTCAGGGGGCTTAACAACTTTCAAAGCACTGACATATTAATCTATTGTAAAATACATTGGTTTTGCACAATGAATCGTTGTATTTTAGAAAGGATTCTCCTGCATTACAAACTATCCCTGGATCTGGATCATAACTATCGAGGGAATACGTTCATGACAAGTTGGGATGAAACTCATAACTCGACAGCCATATTTTCAACCAAAAAGTTAATTAGGCACGAAAGCAATAAATTTTACAATTCTGATACCTTTGAGCCTACTGTCCTGACATACAACTTAGACAGTTTTATTTTCCGGGCGAGAAAGATTGTCGATCAGCTGAGAATAGCCGGTTTTCGTTGAAGCGAAATTTGCAAGAGGAATAAAGCGTTATTTTATATTCTATACGTACCTCGGTATTCAGGAGTAAATGGTCGCATTTCTGGAGGCTGTTCCTCGTAAAATCGATGTTCCCTTTGCTTTAAGGGCTTGCAAACAGATACATCGTCAAATCTCATCATGGAGCAGTGACCACCGACTTGGTGGACAAACGGTTCTAGAGGAACGAAATCTTGTTTCGCTACTCGGTCGGGCATAACCGCCATGAAATAGTTTTCAGAAACAAAATTTGTAATCGATCAATAGTGTCACTTATACAATAGAGTTACTTCTTTATAAAGAGGGAAATGTTAAAGGTTTACTACAAGACCAGAGGAAACGCTAAGTATCTCAATTTTCTTCGCTGCTGTCACGAGACTTCACAACAATAAACCTGAGCACTTATGCAACGACGCTGGCAACAATTTTTTCCTCCCTTTTTTACCATGACGTCACCGAATAAAGATCACGTGAATAAAACACGCTTAATTGATTGGATGACGCTGCGAAGCGAAAACAATGAAGACGTGCCATAAATTGGCACTTTGCCTCATGAAAATAAAGAACTGAACGCGCCTTGTGAACAAGGAAATATTTATTGGATGCTAGTCGAAAATTGGAATCAAACATCTTAAAGCTAAGGAGTAGGGGGAGGGAAGCGAAGGGACCGCGAACGACCTCGGACGTCGTAAGCCCTTAAAACTGAATGCGTGGAGCAAGCAGACAATAACTTTAATGGCTGAAACAAGACGTTCAGATCTTCAGGTTTATTGTATAACGACTTTGACATTTTCTCCATTTCTCTTCCAAAATTAACCCTATTAAGTTCAAGGTCAGGCGTTCAATAATCGGTCACGTGATCAACTTTCTGTAAACACAATAGCCCACATTCGATTAAGCTGTCAAACCTCCTGTAAGCGAACCACAAGGGGAACAGGGGGTCTCTTGCACAGGTACATCTACTTCATGAAAGATAATTTATTGCATGCAATGTCTAAGTAAGGATATGTGTAGTTCCATGTTGTCACTAAAGTATTTCATATGAGTATAAACACAGTGAACACAGCGAAAAATAGAGATCAGACAATACATATATCGGACAATACATATATCCATGAGGCATGACTAGTACCTTTCAGTGTGAGTATTGTCAATGTTTTACATTCAAAAGATGCGATAATTCAAACTAAAATGTACTAGCCATGGAGGTATGTATAGTGCGCATTATTTTGGAAAAATGAGCAAAACGTCAAAACAGTGAATGTTGTGACGCAGATTTTTGACCAGTTCGTAGGATAGGTTTGTCTTGAAATTTCAAGGTGTTGCAGTGAACAGCGTTCGAAATGAACGCTCGCAAACTCGCAAAATGCGAGTGATTTTGATAATCTGCGAGTGAGAAAAATATCCATCAGCAAACGTTTGCGAGTTAGAATCATCCATGTCTCCCAAACAAAGGGAAAGAATTTTCTAGTGGTCTTACCAGTTGGCTAGTGGAAAAAATTCTTACTAGCAAAACTTTGCAAGCGCGCTAAAAAGTTAACTTCGAGCCCTGGTGAATCAATATTAATGAAAGTTTCAGACATTTTTATATACATTATGAAGATTATGTGAATAGATTTGAAAAAAATTCGTTCGAATAGTTTCGGAGATATACAAGAAAGCGCTAAAAGTCCAAATTCTGAATGAAGTTGCACTTACACAGATGGTGAGAAAACGGGTTAGTTTTCAAGATCGCAAGAACGAAAGTACACCAAAATTTCCTAGCATCGCATCAAAACATGATATTAAGAATCATTCTTACGCTACTTAAGAATAATTTGAGTAATTTATAACGTTTTTATTCAATAATCTATCACGGCTATTGAAAATTTAAAGTTTGAAATATATTTTCGTTTTAGTCGAAATTAAAGATACGGAATTTTTTACTTCTTACGGAGATTGTTTGCTAAACACCAAACTTTAAGTTCCTAGTGTTGGACTTGCAGTAGCAGGTCTAGATCACACAAAATTCGACTTTTATCAGTTTCAAAGTTTTTTGTTTATTGTTGTCATAGTAATATCGATTTTACTTAAAACTACATTTTCACAAATTTCAAACCATACCCAATTACTGGTGAAAATTTTATAGCGATCGGACAAGGAAAAAACCACTTTTAAGGCGATTGAAAAATATCGGTATGGCCTCTGAAAAAACTGTATCGAAACACCTTAAAGACCCGATCGTAGTCACTTTCGGGAAAATATGTAATTTTCGCGATCCCAAATTAGTCACTCTCTAATTTTACGAACTTAACCATTGTTTAGATTGATTTTCATCTACAGTACAAACATTCTGGTACGTTTGCTAACCGTAAATATAAAGAACTTTCTTACCCCCAAAAATCCAAAAATGTGCGACCCCATTCAAGTAACTCTATTGAAAAGGCGACCCCATTATAGTCAGTCCAGTCGTGAAAATGCGACCCCATCCAGCGGCACATTCCCATTAGCCTCTTATAAGGAAGTACCCCCACCCTGGGTCAGAGAAGAGCGATTATCAGAGCAGGGTCCTAACCAGTGTCAGGAACACATGGGCTCCTCAAAGTCAGCGTGACTAGATTTTACCGTAAAATCTTGCAACTTGCAACTTGCCTTTCCCTCGACTAGGGAAAGGCCAATTGCAAGTTTCGTCTTGTTGTTTGTAAGCGATCTGCGTATCTCACCACTCGAAGGTTGAGCCAGTTGGAAAAAGATCTCACGCCACCACGCCACATTTCTGATTCACGATACGAACACGTGTTTTACGTTTTGGTCTCGGTGGGTCAGTAACTAGAGACGAAAAAGCGATGGGTGCATCAGGAGGGGAGGGGCTTAAAGCAGAAGGGACCCAGGAGAAAGAAGGGGAAAGAGGGTTATAAAAAATTGGAAAATACTGTGCAACGCAAAAGTCACGTTCATGATTTTTACCAAGTTATTTATCAAAATGTGCGTCGAAAGGGCACGAAAAAAGGTATTTATATCTAATCGGCTCCTGATCTACGGTTCTTTAATTTTCCTTGTTTTGTAAAGCATATGGAAAATAAAGCAAGGGCCATTGCCACCTTCTACGCCCATATTTCAATATTATGTTCAGATTCATCAGTCCAGGCCACTTTCTTCCTATTTGTTTAGCCGGGTTATGTAAGAAACTTGTAAACCGCCTCATTTTAAGAACCGCACGGTCTCTGTCCTTCCTCCTTCACGGCCCCTGTATCGGCCTTGCCGGCAAGGGAGGTAAAAATGGAATGATGGAATGCATTTCCATGCTTTCAAGTGCCTCTAGCAAAATGAGGCCCAACTTAATGTGTCGCCTTTTTGTACTCTGTCGGTTTGAGACTGTTTAAATCCTTCTATTATCCCAAAAGATCACCATCAACTGTTGTCATTTGCCTTACTGAAATGTGCTGATGGAGTACAGCTGTACGCCCTACACTACGACATCAGGAGCCCTGACGACACCCACCCCACCCCCACTTTAGCGCTCGATCGCCACGGTCTTACATCTCGGAAGTCTAGTTTTTAGGGCGGTCAAAACTCCCGTTTTCATTCCTACATTTTCTGTGTTCGCAGGCTAGCCAGTCCCGGCTACAGCCGTTCCCTGGGTTGTCCCTTTGTGGGGAGGAGAGTTTCGCGACGACTCTTAAGACGGTTGTGAAGTTCTACTTCACTGAGATCTAGAATGAGAAACTTATCACATAGAAAAAGTGTCGTTCCACTTACCCTTATTTAGTTCCCCTGGTCTTTGACCGGTGTCCAATCTGGACCGGTCCCAAAAAGTGAACCGGATGTTGTTCAAAAAGTAGTTCCTGATCCTGTTTCGTCAAATGTCCCACAATACACCGGTGTTACTATATAAATCACCAATCGCCGCTTACTATTCATGTAGTCTTGTCATGGCGACAAGTCTGCATGTTCGTTTTCGGGGGTGACTAAAACTTCTTTCGAATTGTCTTGTACCCAAGAGGATGATAAAAAACCGCGCAAATAGTGTCAGAACGAAAGATGAGGATGGATACACGAGGAGAGCAGGATGTGTCTGCTTCAGAACTGATCAGGAAAAAGAGGTTCGACACATTTGGTTCTTCCACATGGCAGAACACATGTCTCGACCGGCCGTCAGGCCAGACACTGTAATGCTGATGTTTGTTCATTGTAGGTCCTACTAATTTCAAGCTCTCGGCATCCTGGTCGGTGGGTTGTTCCATCTGGAGGAGTTGAACCTGGCGAAGAACCAAAAGAGGCTGCAGTTCGCGAAGTTGTGGAAGAAGTTAGGGACAGACTTTTTCGTTAAGCTGAGCTGCTTTATCACACAAGACTGTGTTTGCGTTTGGTTTTTTTCTTTTAATTCGTTCAGGTTTCGGCGTTATCTGTTAACGCTTAGTCTTTTGTTCGATTGTGTTATTTCTTATCTCTAGGCTGGTGTTCGAGGCAAGCTTGGACGTTTTCTGGGCGAGTTTCAGGTGTGAATATTCCCTTTGTGGTAAAACAGTCGTTGCCATTGCTTTTGTTTGCCTGGCCCTTTAGAGAATTGTTGTGTTTAGACTCACCTACCTTTCGCCTTTTAGAATGATGTTAACCAAAGTCGGACCGCTGTATATGTGCTTATTGTGACAGAAGAACTAGAAAGATGGCAGGAAGGTAGGTTCTGTTTATTAAAATTCCCGCTGTTTATAGCCCAAAAGCATTTACAACTCAAGTTGAAAGTCGTCGAACCAGTAAAGTTCAGTACAATATTCTAGTGTTTTTAAAGCAACATAAGAAATATAAGCCTTATATTACCTGTTCTCTTCTTCTTTCTTCGGAATATTCTTATCCACTCATTTTGAAGCTTTTCTTAAGAATCCAAACGCAAACGGAACTTGTCAAGGGGTGCGCAACACTGAGATACGGTAGATCATTTCTTGCTTTGCTCACGTGTATATATGGTGCTCGCTCTTTTGAGATCTAGCTTTCAGTACAAAGTACAACACATCTATATTTATATATTATAGCCAGTTTGTAGCAGCGAAATGTTATATGCGACTTTGTAGAATACGCTATGTCTATCGAAACAAGGTACGTGTTGTTTTTTCGGGCATTTATAGCTAAAGTGGGGACGAATATTTAACCGAGTGTTTACAATGACAAAACTACTCCCGTCGTAAAATACACCGTATCTTTGGCGTTTCTTTGTATTCCTTCAGCGCTTAGAGAACGAATATTGATTCACTGCCAGATTGACCTGAGGTCATCCCTAAGAGAAAACTGTATAATGTTTAGAGTAATCGAGGAAGACATAATGTATTATTGATGAGCTAAAGCTAGCCTTGGTTCCGTTAAACGATAGAAATAAAGCTTAGTACATTTACCGGTGCTAGAATAGCAAGTATTGGAAGTGTAACAGGTCATCTGGTACTGTCTTGTGTCGTCGCCTCTGTTTATTTCATCATTATTTGATGGTATTGTTTTTCAGATAGAATGTCCAGTTATGACTATATATTATGTATGCACTGCCAGTAGTGTTAATCTGTGCAGTTCAATTTTAGTCCTCTGTAGATTTAGTGTCATTTGTTTCCTGATTTGTAAGTCCTTCATGAAAATAAAAAAATTTTGTAGTCAAGATCTGAAGCAAAATCATTATACGTGCCTTCCCTTTCATATGTGAATCTCATGCCTGCAGACTAAAGACATTGATTTCACACATCAAAGACAATTAAAATCCGGAGGAATTAGTCTTTAAATGATTAACAATGAAAGCTCAACTCAATTTCAGTCCCCAAAAATATTCCAAAAAGGTCCTCAGTGTTGACTCTGTATTCTATTATTGTATCACAAAATGTTAAAATTGTTGCCTTTTAATTAGCTTTGGAAATGTTAAAAGGTCATTAAAAGGTTTTTGGACATGTTCAACAACATTGAGCAGTCTATGGAAAATCTTAGGAAACCTTTAGAAGTCGCCTGGACATTTTCAGAAATACCAGTCATGACAAGGCGTTAATCTCAAGCATTTGATGTAGAAAAAGTTGGCAGGTGTACAAAATATGGAATGAGGCAGTGCTGACGATAACACATGCCAGAAGTAGCACCGTTCAAGTATGTGTTTTAGGGTGTTCATTTAGCATTGAAGAGATCGGAGAATTCTTGGTTTAGGATGCAGAATTCTTTAACTAACGTTTGGTAGCTGACACCCTGCGCGCAAAGGCTACATTTTTGCTGTGTGAGCTGTCATGCAAAAAGTAGCCTCTGCTGACAACCGTTCAAATCCGTCCAGAAATCTGGACAAATAAAAACGGTTTTTTTCCTGTTCTTGACCGGTTTAAAGCATTGCATGAGTCTTGCATAGCAAATCAGAGTTGTTGCAATTTTTTATTCCCGCAAAACTCGCTCCATTTGATGACAGACCTGACAATTAATTTTGCTTGTGAATCGCGTGATGAATTTCACGCATGCATCATAGAAAATTGAACGGTTGTCGCCAAAGGCTACTTTTCGCACACCAGCTCACACAGCGAAAATGTAGCCTCTGCTTGCAGGTTAGGTAGCTAATGACTATTTTTTATTTATGTGGAGCCTCTTTCAAAATATTCTCCTGTAACATTACACCTTTCTCCTTTGTTAAAAAGTTTATTTCAAATAGTAAATACACAGCTACAAAATAAATTGAAAATGAAATGAAAGAAAAACAGCTAATAATAATACAATACATATCTGTCTGAATTCATAAAACGTGACCTCTAGGTTTTTGCCTGGTGCGGGGCACAGTCTGGCACCAGGCCAGTGCAGTCTCCAAAAATGTAGGGGCTTCGGCATCTTGGTCAGCTCAGGTGGATAGCCCAGGGACTGCCCTAACAGTGGGTGGGTGGATCAGGCATGGGGGGCAAAACTAGTGGGGTAGGGAGGGGGCTATTTTGACACAACCCATTCAGTGAGGAGCAGTTTTTACTTAAGGCTTTGACAGGCAAGTACCTTGTGTTTACTTTGCCCTAGCCAGCTGTATCAGGTTTTAATCGCTGACATTAATTGTCAAGATAACTGCAGAACTCAGGGGAAAGCACAGACAGTTACCCAGTGTCCTGGGTGGGGAGTGAAATTCTCAGTACCAAGGACATACTTAGCTGAGGACCTGTAGACGCTCACTGAAGCCACGTTAACTTAAATTCAGTCAGATTTACAATGACGCTATTTTATATTTATTTTGACAATTGGCTGAGAACTAAAAATAACATAAAAACAAATAAAAGAAAAGAAAAAAAGGAGAGAAACTAAAAATGAAGATGCTAACCTAAAAAGTGAAACAGTACTAGCTTAATGGAATATGTATCAAGAGAGTTACACTAGCATTCACTAATTAAGAAGTTTGGCCCATGTTTTTTCAAATTGGGCTGAGCATTAAGATCTAAAAGCTGTGAGTCAGAGAATATTTTATTATATTTAAAAGGCGCAATAGAAAACTGTCAAAGTCCAGAATGCTGCCGCGTAAACTTGTTGCAAAAACATGATACCTGGGGACAATCAAACAGTAGTTAAGAACTTCTCAGTTATTTGACTTTTTGTGCCAACCGTAAAAAGTAGTACTTTCAGCAAATTCAGTTTTTGATTAAATTTTTCTTGTCACCAGTTACAAAACAGTTGTCATTATTCCTACAGTATTGTAGTACTTTTATTGTTCATGTGATGGTGATGGTAATGATATTGATCTAGTATCCTTTTGATGGTGATGGAACCCATAATGATGACAATCTCTCTTTCTCGTGTTTGGAATTTACGTTTCTAGTATCCTTTTGAAAGCTTTAAAACTTAAAACAAAGAAAGTAATGCGCGGGATAACGCAATCTCTGCTTGTTTCATCAGGAAAAAGATAAACTCTATAAGCAGTTCATTAATTCTAGGGACTCAACTACTGAAAAATACAAACGCCAGGTAAAAATTGCTAAACAAAGACTAAAAGATACAAAATTTGAGAAGGCTAAAAATAACCTGAAAGAAACTTGGAAACTAATCAATGATGTAATCAACAAACCGAGCAGAAGCGCTTCTGTTAATGAGTCGCTTATCTTAAATCCAACTAATATTTCGACAATCAAATGGTAAATGTCTAACAAAATTATTAAAAAGCACCTGTTTTTCTCAGCCTTTGGCTTTACTATTTTTTTATAATACTAGAAGTTCCTCAGATGTAACACCAAACAATTTTCTATTTTGTTCCAAGGCCCTAAAATTTGGTCCTGGTTTTCAGTAGATGAAGCAAAAATTAAGTTAACGGAAAAGCCATATCTTTGTATAATGTAATGCTTGTGTAATCTTTATTGAAAATAATAAATATCTGTTAAAAAATTTGCATGTTTTGGAAGGTGACATCACAGGCTGGTCTTCTTTAATTGACCTGGTTGAATTTGGCCGAAGATTTTCTTCTATATAATAATTATTATAATAGTAATCCAGTAATTTAATTAGTAAGAACATAATATTTTTTTCTTGTTACATGTTAGAGGCAAAGAGTTGTATATTTATATATTTCTTAGCTGGGGTAGGGAAAGAGATCATCCTTGATCTGTTAAACAATTATTCCTCGAGCCCGAATGGGCTATTGACTCAGAGGCTATGAGGGCGACAGGAATAATTGTTTTAGTAAAATCCAACTAGTTGGTAAAAAATGTCGAGACAAAACAACTTAAGTTAGCAAAACGTGATTCAGCCGCCATTGTTCTGGTTTTCAAAGCCGGCACTTATTGTTACTAGTGGGTTATAACATATAGCCTAGTAGTAGCTCAACCAATCAGAACGCAGCATTGATAATAGACCACTAGTTGGATTTTACTAAAACTTAATATACCCATTCCTATACTAGGAAATGTGCTTTCAAGTCCTTATAAAAGTGTTTTATATTTTACTGTCAGTACTGAATATGTTTTCATATCCGAGTCTTTTATGCCTTGAGAGGGATTTGATAAATGATTCCAAGTCAAGGCTAGTCGGCCGTGAAAGATCAGCTATAAATTACTAACTGTAGACTGTGAATTACCTTCGTTGACACTTGATGCGTACAGTATTTAAAACTCAAAATTATAATTTATAGATCACTAAAATAAAAGTAAATGTACATGTATTTTCGGGAAGTAGATAATGTGACTGCAGTGTGAAAAAACTTTCTCATAGTTATTTGTTCTTCTCATGTATTTGATCAAAACAACCCAGAAGCTAACTAAGCTTTCTCTAACACAAACACCTCGTAGGCCGGTGGGTTTATTTTTATTTTAGATACATGTAGGTGTGTTGAAACAAGGCTGTGCTGTAAGGAAAATTGAAGGGAGCCTGTTGCCCTGAACCTGTAAACAGTAGGGTGTCCAGATTATCATTGGTACAGAAAAGCTAAGATTTTCTAGTTGCCAAAGGCAAAGTTAGGCACCGCCTGTGCTAGAGCACAACCTCGGGAAAGATTCCAAAAGTAAGCATGGATCCCAAAAATGTTTTCTCAGTGGTCAAAGAAATTCTTTAAATTGTTATAATTATTTAGAAGTATGAGGAAACTGTCAGACCGGGAAGCTGATCTTATTGTAATATTATTAATGTTCTATTAACTTACTAAACATAATTCAAAAACTTTTTTAAAGTGTATTTGAAAAGCTCCAAGCATTTGAAAACTGCAATTTTGTTTCAATTGCCAACATAGCTTTCTTAACATGAAAAAGCATTTTCAACATAAAAGCTCAAATTCTATAACTCTTGTACAATATTAGTATAATTACTAAACTGTCATTAATGCTAAGATTTTGATTTGAGCGTGTACAAATTTCTAAAACATGCATTTGCATGAATGCAAAAAGGGGGGGGAGCCTTTTGCCACTGATCACTGCAGATCACAGCAAACAAAGTGACTTTCTCCTAATTTGATGTCACATCATGAAAATTAACTTTGTTACTCTGATCTAGACAGAGTAATGTTGTTCTTTTGCTGCAATGATGTCTTGGTTTCTGAATGCTGAAAATTTTAACCCTGCCTAGTGTCTCAAGTTTGTCTTGCTCACATTAATCTCCCTCTCCTCAAACAATCTTTACTCCTTTATGAAAATGCTATTTTGTTCATGTTTTGTACTGTAATTGCCAAACTTGTATTTTGAGGGTTCCTTTTATAATTTCAAAGCAATTTTGTATTTCACTAAATGGTAACATTGCTTCAAAGCAGCTGCTTATTTCCAGAACCATGAATTGCTTGTCAAGCACAATACCCCATCGAAAATTTCATTATTCTTTTTTAAGCAATGGAAGCAAGCAATCTTAACTTTTTTATTCATTTAAGATAAGTATCACTTGCCTGTGTTACTACATATCATAAAAGCATTAAATCCCTTTTATGAAGGAAAACAAAAATGTTTTTGGTATAGACATGGCTGAAGAATACATCTACAGTACAAACCCTACAGCACTGCTTTCGAATAGATGTTACATCAAGCTTGTTCTTTGCTTTTGGTAATATGTATTTTATTGCCCTTCCAAAATATTTCCAGGCAAATCAAAGCATAGAAATTTCTATAAGTAATATTTTTTGTTGGTCTGTTAAAAGGTTTTACCTGGTGCATCATGTATTAATCTATAGGCTACTTAGCTATACTTCCCTATAAGTTGTTTCTCTAAATGCTGTACAAGGGAGGCAGGTTGTTCCTAAGCAACGTGCAAAGAAAGTCATGTCTGATAGCCCGGGAATAGTGGATTTTGCTATCGGGCTACTGATTTTTTGTTCTTAACTTGCCCAACGGGCAAGTGCTGTTTTTTGGGGAAATTCAAATTACAGAAGGATTGTAATCAATCCCGCTAATCAAAAAGGGTTTTGGGGCTAGTTGAAATGACTTGTGGGCTAGTACATGCTAGGTACAGCTTGCCCGAGGGGCAGGCTGTAAACTGACTTTCTTTGCATCCTGCTTAGTAAGGTCTGAAATGCTAAAATCCAACCATTTATTTCCAGTAGCTATTGAGCCTTCTTTTCATTCTGTCTGGGCTTAAATATGATTTTTTAATTATTGCAATAACTTTACACTGGAATAATGTCCTGCCAACTTGACCTTTAAACTCAAATGTAAATAGTTAAAATTACATCAAGGCACATATTCTCTTCACCTCTCTTCATACATTTCTCATGGCACAAGTGTGGAGAATTTGTGTAAAAAACAAGCTGGTTTATGATTGTTACGTGCTACTGTTAAATGAAGAAGCAACATAGAAAGGGAAGTGGTCATAGTATTGTACACGGACAGGCACCACGACTACTCAGTCCATGGCCTAGACTCACTGGTGGTGTTCCTGTGTGCATCCTTGCTCCGCTGAAACATATAGCATCTCCTCTGCATACCACCACCCCTGGTTTAGCAGCAGTAGAAACCTTGGTGCAGTTTTTCTGATAGATGTCGGAACGTACAGAACGTTTTAGTAGTAAATGAATTTTTTGAGAGTTTTTGTGGACAAATTGTCTTGTCCACTTCCCTAAGGATGAATTTCTTTTGGTGACTGTTTGAACTTTAGTGAAGGATTAGCATGGACTCCTTAGGGACAGCCATTTGATATTTCTGGGGTGGGGCTGGGTGATTTGATTTTGGGAACATTTTTTCCTAAGCTTATTTCTCTGATTGTCTGTTTTCTTATTTTTTGTCTAGTGTAAGTATAAGTAACTCTAATTCAATACTTTTTCAATCGCATTCTCTTTGTAAGAAAATTTTTCCCAAATCAAATGGTTCTTGGTTAAAGAGAAGAAGTTATTTATTGGCTTGAGTCAACCAATGATTGGAATGATCTTATGACTAATGATTTATATGATAATGAATATAATGCAATGTATATAGAAAGAATTGCCTCGCGATAGTCACTTTGTTATTTATCTTGATCAACAAAGTCTGTCACACATATATAGCTTGATGATTTCATACTATGTTGTAAATTGGGTTAAGAATAGCAGACGATGAGGTTAAATTAGGTGTAAGTTCATATTTATTGTGATGTGTGTTGTTCATCATCAAAACCAGATTGAGATGAAATAAACAGAGTGAGAGAGTCAAGTTTTGTTTTTGTGTTTGCTTTTTCTCTTCTAAATATTTATATCTTTTGGAATGGTTGGTCCACAAGTCAGTATCTGGATTTACCTTTTAAGCCTTGCATTGTCTTTCCATTTATAAACCTGGATGTCAATCAGTTTCTACATATTAAAATAAGAGACTGCTCGCAGTATAGTGAAGAGTCCCTTGCCCTCTATCAATCAATCAATCAATCAACAGGGGCGAATCTAGGGGAAGGGGGTAGGAGGTGCCCACCCCTCTCTTAAAATGACCTGCGACTTTCTAATACAGTTATACAACATCTGCTGTTCGTTTGATCTGTATTCTCGGCAGTTCACATTATGTTATTGCCCAGTCAATGTTTACGTCACCAGTCAGTTGCGCCATTCCTTAGTGGTGTATCCCCTCCCAAGAAAAACCCGATTGCATAAAAAAGGAATCTATGCTCGCTCCAGAGCCGGCTCGATCTCATGCCTTAAGTGTCTCCATGCGCTCGCGATTCTCCCAACCTCGCAGTTTGTGCGCGCGAGTTAAGCCATATTTTTATGACAAAAAGGGGAGAGAAAAGACAGAAAGAGAGGACGACAGAGCTGCGGAGATCGCTGTTAGAAGAGACGAGCCCCTCCCTGACTGTAAGCTCGAAATGCTAATTGACGTATTTGTTCTTTGTTCTTTTTTTTTCATTTGCACTTTCTAACATTCCCAAGTGAGGGTGTAACTAAGATAGTAGAATCCTCTGGGCATATTTGAATAAAGCTATATCATCGTGCTCAGCTATTTCTAAGGGCCCGTTTAGATGGAGGTAGGGGACCCCAGGTAGATGAGGTAACCCGCTTAGGTGAGGTAAAAAATAACCCTCCTTTACGTGCAATCTTACAACCCCGTCATCCCGGGGTACACTTTCTCAAGATTATTTAATGGAAGCTAAGCACGTAACAATGAAAAATGCTGGCAAACCACGTGTTTTGAGCATTAGTGCTCTTCTACACTCACTTGCTGCTCTTACTGCAACCTTCAGTGCTGTGGCGTTTTAAAAATGATGGAAAGCCACCGCCGAAGTGAATTTTACGCAAATTTGATGTATCACGAATCCTAGCCCGACTAGGCAGGTTACCCCACCTTGAAACGCTTACATGCCAAAATTAGACCCCGGCTGGGAGGGTACCCGGTCCGGCAGACCGGGCTACCGGCCTTGGCGGGTCACCCCACCTATGATATAAACGTGATCAAATTAAAATGAGGGATTATATGGACAGGCAGGTTACCCCACCTAAGCCGGTTACCTCACCTACCTGGGGTCCCCCACCTCCCTGTAAACAGGCCCTAACTAAATGCTGTGCCCAATTCAAACCATTTGGGAATAAAACGTTTTGTTTCAGTAATTTCCATAACATTTAAATGCCACATTATAATGCAAATACAATACACAAACAATCTTAACCCCCGGGAGATTTGCATTGGGTACAGGCTGAGTTAGCTTAATAGGTCTATTTGTAGTGTTGTGACTTGACCTAATATTTAGCAGATTTGTTCCTGTCTATCTCGCTGTTATTCCGCATCGTTTTAGCAACAGCAACAGTTTGAGTAGAGAAATGTAATAAATTTGAATCATTTTTAAATGTTTGGCAATCCCATAATACACTGCGTAGCCTGAAAGCAAGCTCTCGGGAACAATCTGTCGGAGGAGCGCCCCGGAGAGCTTGCTCGCAGGCTATACGTTGCGTTTTTTAAAACTAAAAACGCAGGAGGACTGGGGAAATTCATGCCAACACATTTGTCGCCAAAAAGAATCGATCCTGACTGATTATCATTTCGTTCAAGATTTATTTGGAACGTTTTCCCATTTTAAAGCTATTCATTTATAGTTTTCTCTCTATATATAACAGTCGCAAAAGTTTATCAAAGACTACTTTGATGCTGCTCAACTGGGAAATCATGGACCAGACCATGTCGACCATAATGGAGGTATAAAGCTGAAGCAAACTATTAGAAGCACGTGTGGCGCGGCATCAACAAGAATTGTGCGAGACATTTACTCCTAACAGATGTAGCATTGTTCAGGGGCACCCAACGTCAATTTTTGGAAAACACCGTGTGTTCGGAAGACGATCTGAGATCTAGAATTTTCGGAACATTTGTTGTAACATTTCTTGTTTGCCTGTTCGAACATCTAAAAAATGGTATAATTGCCAATTTTTAACGGATTTTTACCCTAAAAAAAAGTCACCTAGAATTGTCGGGAGCCTTTTTTCTGGCTGAAATTTTCGAAAAGGTAAGTTTTGATCCCTATAATTTTCGGATCACTAGACTTTCAGCTAGGAAATCCGACGAGATGAAAAATTTTTAAGGGATAAAAATATGCCTATATCTATCGTTTAAATACTAAAATACGTTTAACAATGCTATGTTTAAAATGACAAACCAAGTCCCATTATGGCTCTTGGACAAACTGATTACAGATACTCAAAACAACCGAAAATAAATGAATAAACATTGACTACAATTGCTTGTTCCTTACCTGTGCTCATGATCGAAATGAAGGAAACACTCACAACCACGAACACGCTGCAATTCTTCCAACCGATGCTTTTAAACTCCAAATTTCTACACAAAAAGGTGCTCTTCAAGTGGTCCTTTTTCTTGAGCGACAAGGAAAAAAATAAAAGCGACAGTAGAGCTTATCTTTAATTTCTAACATACAAATGTTTTGCTTATTAAATTTTCGTTTAGCATTTGAACCAAACATCTTATCTGAATTTCGTGTGAATCATTCAGCGCTTTGGAAGTTTATTTAGGGGAGGGGGAGGGGGGGCGGGGGCGCCTCGCCCGTGTGTTTGTAAACATTCCAGTACCAGCTCAATGAAGAACGTTTTAAAAGCTTTCTTAATATTACGTTCTATCGTAAACAAGCCTGCAAACTGCCAAAAGATGTATTAAAGGAAACCAAAAACGTTATTTTGTACGAATATGGATCCGTGTGCGCACTTGCCAAAATGGTCAGGCTACGCCCCTGATAACTCCTTTAATGTTGTTGTTCAAGTGAAGGGATTTAGGCTCTACCAATAAATGGTAGCCGCGTCGAGTGTTGATAAGAACTGTTTAATTAAGTGACAAGACCGGTTTCGGGAATCTAAGATGGTTTCCTTTTTCAGTTGCTTTAAAAGTTAACGCTCGTGTGGTTGTGAGCAGAAGAAAGTGACTTTGTGGCACGCGCTGTTAGAGAAAGTAACAAATTTCAAGTGTGTAGGATTTCTATCCGTTACTGAAGTTAAGCTTGAATTTGCGTAATCTTTTGTTAGCGGTAAGCAATAGACCCTAAATGAACGTATGCCGTAAATTTGCCTTAGGATGATTGTTAAAACTGGATGGTTTTTAGTAAGCAAGCCCTTCGAAAATGCATCTAAAAAGTCAACAATAAAGGCGAGTCTAATTTTGATTTTAAGAGACTCTGCAGTTATTGGAGTGAAGTTCATACGGTGGTAGTGTAGTTTTTAAGTCAAAGTGTAATAATATTGTCACGCGACCTTAACCGTGTATAACTACTTTAAAAGTGTTGCTGTTCAAATGAAGGGACTTAGACTCAGCTATCCATAAATGGTAGTCCTTTTAGCATTTTAGTATTCGATGGATCGAAAATATCATGGGGCCCGTGATCGGAAAAAGGGAACCATTCCCCTCGCTAGTTTTCTCTCGTTTTATTTTCGTGTTCGCACTTTCTCTCTTTTGAGCAAAATATTTGAATTGTTAATTTTTTTCTTTGAGTTTCAGCATTTTTTTGGTTCTTTCAATCTAGAGGATAATTAGTGTTTGATTAGGAGAGTGGAATAAAGGCTACCAGTGATCGCGAATACTGGAATTTCATCGGCAATCACTGAGTGCTTTTATTTACTGGCGTCAACTATTTCTATCACATTCCGCTGGTTTATTCTCTCAGAGTTGAATAAAGAATGACGTTGAAAGGTCGAAATTGCATTTATAAGCAGTTGAAATCGGGGGACAAATATTAGATGCTGTCAAAGTTCCGGTGGAAAAAGCAGAAGATTTTAAGTAATGATCCGGGTAAGGTGGATAGCAATTTCTTTTGTTATGCGGCAACGGTGCTTTCCCCACATAGGAATGTTCTCATTTTTACACAGACAATGCATAAACCTACATGAAGGCCGTTTACGTAATAAAATGCATTTACACTCCTCTTTGAAAGGGTGTTTTTTCGTGTTAAAAGATTTTGACCAATCACAAGAGTTGAAAACGGTAGCCAAGAACAGTTTACAATTTTACATGTTCCCCACATAGGATTTCTTTGATATTCAAACTGAGACCAGATTTTGTTATATGGAAGATGGTTGGGAAAGTAAGGATGAATGTATGTACTGCTTTATGGAGTTTTGTTAACTTTTGCTGTTTAAGCCAATCAGAAGTAAGTACAGACAATAGAAAAGTTAGCACCTTTTTTGCATTCCAACATGTTCGTTGCCGTTGTTGCTATCGTTCTTATCTGGACCGTTTCTTAAAAGATCAGGTAAGTGTCTTCGATCTTTGGTTTTTTGGTTTCTCCAGTGTTAGTGTCTCAGTCGAATTTCGAAGTTAAAAGAATTTTACCTTACGTCAAACAAAGTTCAATTTTAACTCTATATACTCCGAAGCCGGAGTTCTGGTTATTATCTGGCTACGAAAGCTGATTTGTTCTGTGATACAGGATAAATCTTGTCACTGCAGATTCAGCTCCAGCTGATCAAAGTGAGAAAACGGCGGCTGGGGCAGGAAACAGTGAAGAAGTTCCTGAAGCTGCTGAAACAACAGAGAACAGTACTGTACAGTTGACAAGTGAACAGAAACGCACATATGCTAATCTTCAGCCTATATTTCTAGCCATGGAAATGGGACAAGATGCAGTGCAAGTTAGTCAAGGAGAGGAACAACATCAAGAAGCTACTGGCTCTACTACTGAGGAGATAGAACACCAACAACAGCAGGCATTTATTGCTACTTCCAGTGAGCAGTTTACACAGACAAGCCAAGCTGCTAGCTTGCTGCTTAGTAATGTAGTTACTACCTCAGGCACTGAACCCCCAGCTTCATTAGCATCAATTCTTCAAGATGTGGTGTCTGGTATGCAGAGTGGTGCAGGATCTGTTCCAGCTGCTATAATAACAGATCCTAACTCTGGCAGTGGCTCTTTCCTGATTGTCAAACTAAATGTAGTGCCAATTGTACGTCCTGTCCTTGTTTCAAATCTTCCTGCTGGAGGTGTTGGCGGAGCAGTCAGTGTATCTGCAGAGACTCTTCAAGTGTTAACTGCAGGTCTTCATACAGTTGATGATGGTTCAGGTGGTGGTCAAGAGACAGTCACAGTAGACGTTGGTGTTACTGAAGCTGAAGGTAGGTTTCTTAAGCATTTTTTCTGTGACAGAGGGATTTCTGTATGACCTTAAAAAATTGTCATTTGTTTCATCATTACTAAAAATATCAAAACCACGATTTTTTGCATACATTTTGCATGTCGATGGAAAAAAGGCATTGATCAATTGTCCAATTGATCACTGAGTATACAGTATGTATGGATTAATGTATGGATTAATTTCTAGAGTGTAGCATTCATTTCACAATGTATAATGAAGGGTAAAAACCCTTTTTTAAAGAACGCTCAGTTTCAGATAATAATAGTGTTTCAGGAATACCCCCGTCGTCACTTATGGCAAATGTTCCATCCTGAAGGGGCTGGGTTATCAATATAATTCTCTTCTATTTTTCTTCTGATTTCAGTTGGGTTGGCGCTAAATATTTTCAGATTATATATTCAGTGTAGAATGAGCACTGGGAACTTTTCTTTTCTCCAAATTTTATTGTCAATGTCAAATCAATTAAAAGTCGGTATTTCTCTAAGTTTGTAACTTATATGTAGGTGCGACTGCTGCAACTGGCGAGTTACCAGGAGAAGCTACTGTTGATATTGGTGCTGATGTTGTTGCCATGGTAGCAGGTGCTCAAACTGTGTCTCAAGCAGTTACCCACAGTGGTACAGAGTTGCATGAAGGAGAAGAGGCTGCAGCTGCCTTACAAAGTAAGATTATTAGTGTTACAGCTAGATGTACAATGAAGTGGCCATGCACGTGCTGTGTAGCCTGCGAATACAGCCGTTTCCTCTTTCTCCTCGCCGCTTGGGACGCTTCGCCAGGAGGAACGTCTGCGCATTTAGAGACAGAAATTCCATACCCATGACGTTAAATCTGTCTGGAATCTGGTCAGGAGCTCTGACTGGTCCACATAGTAATTATATTGTTCTACCTATTTTTGGAAACATACAAGATACAATAGGCCACAAAGGTCAAATGGGGTGGTAAACGTGATGAATCTCCTACAAAATAGTCAATATTCGTGGAATACATTCTTCTTTAAAAAAGGCATCTGAGTTTTGCTGGAGCTCGCTTGCAGTAGACCAAAACTTAACCATTTTCAACCAGGAGAAACATAAAATCAAACAAATTCACATTTGGAACCCCATAACTACCGGTTTTATTATGTAAACATTGATTTACGTCATCAGTATGGAATTTATGTCGCTGAGGCATAGATGCCGTTCCTCCTGGAGAAACGTCCTTAGTTGCGAAGGGCATGTTGAAACGGCAAGTTGTTTCCAAGCACCTGCTGTTACGCAGGTTAAGTTGATTCACTCTCTTTTCTCACGAAAAGGTTCTATTATTGACTAGTGAACTTCAGAAAATACCTGCAGATGCACCTTTCCGATTTCCGACTGCTACATACTAACGGTAATCTTTTTAGCTAGGGGTCCAACTCACGGCGTGAAAATTATATATTCTCACGTCCTAGCCTACATAACAGGCGCTTTGTTAGCCAAGCGAGGCGAACGCGGCATTTTGCACGAAGCGCGATACGAGAAGAGGAGAAAATGAAACCCTACTCACATCCAGGGTGTAGTGCAGCCAAGCATATACCCTATCCATTATATTAGCAAGTACCCTAATATATGAGACTATACTGACTCGGCCCAGTATGGCCGGGCCGGATGTAACAGTTGGTTTGGCGTAAAAACTGAGCTGAAATTTAAACTAGGTGTCCTCAGTCATCTTTTCTCGTTCTACAAACAAAGAAATATGTCAACTGATAATAATAATAATAATAATAATAATAATAATAATAGTAATAATAATAATAACTGAGTGCCATTATTTACCCTCGGGAGTATTTGTAGCACTAATGCTAGAGGGGCCGAGCAAATGTATGAACAAATAATTTAAATCAAACATAACAGGGTTAAGAATTCAAACTGGTCGGAGTTCAAATCAGTTGGCTATTTAGAAGTGTAGCCGAGGATTTGAACTCGGGACTACCCTGAAAAAATCCAGCTAGCGGTCAGAGCGGGACTTGAACCCGGGACTTCCGAATGGCAAGTCCAGCGCTCTAACCACTCAGCCACGCGCTGCCTCCTCAAAAGGGAAATATAATGACACACACTTGTCTTGAGTTTAATATGTGTAATGTATTTGCTTTTTTAGAAAAAGTTAAAAAGTGTAAGGCACAGAGCCGAAACAAAAAAAAATGGTGCATCGCATGCAGGTACTGTTCATAAAAATTCATGTCTAATTAAGTTCTTTCTATCCCTCTTGGCCGACGGCTTGTAGGTGGTGGCCAACGCATTTCGACTTGAGTTAAGATTATAAGGCCATTTATTAAATGATAAACTGAATGTCATCTCTGTTTAAACTCTCTCTTCAAATCTCATGTCCAGGAAACCACTATACCAGCAACTGTGATTCAATGATGTCCCACATCAGATTGTTTCTTACTCAGCTAACTTTCCTTTAATCGCAGAAAGAAAAAAAAATGTCAGCGATGGCCTGACAGACCCTGAGGATATAGGTGAGTTATAAACATGTGTATATTTAACAATTAGTCGCCTGAGGCGACTAATTGTTTTAGTATAATTGCATTGATGATTATTCGAGAAAATAAAATTATTGATCAATTTCCAACTCCTAAACATCAACAAATCTGGCTGCCATTTTGAAAACTGCTAGTCTTTAAAGTTATAATCACCGCGCGGTGATTATAGCAGGATGAAGCGAAGCTCCTTAAGCCAATCATAGCGCTCTATTTTCGATGATCATCAATGCAATTATACTAAAGGCGTATAGTAGAGGCCATAGGTATGTAATTAACAATTTATTCCACTAGTGCGCGTTGGATATGAGATGGTACATAGGCAACGAGAAGCGTATAACCATTTCACATCAAACAAGTGCGATTGGAATAATTGTTTTATTAAAAAAGCCCATGAAATATCGAGAATTCTTCCCGACCTTATTTGTAAAAATAACCAGTTTCAGCTAGTTTTTAAATTTGAGCAGACGCGTACATTTATACCATGTTTAATTTGGAGAGCATGGTAGAATGCCTCACATACAATGATGGCTAAGCCAATCAGAGCTCTAGAATTGCATTATCCAATGGTTCAGTTTTTAATAAAGATATTTATCCCATGCCATAGAGAATACAGCCAATCAGAGAGCTAGAAACCCGTTTTTCACGAACAAATCCCGGTCATACTTGTGACCTCCACATTTTCCCGCCGAAAATGGAACCGGTAGCAAAACTGTTCTTTGTCACAAAATTTCCAGAAGCAGAACACCCGAGTTTTAAATACCATTCGGAGTTTTAAGTCAAAGGTGAAAGAGTAGTACAATACGAAACCAAACAGACTAAGACGAACAAAGGAGTTAAGGAATTCTAATTAACCGAGAGTAACTGGGAAAATAAACCTTTTAACCAGTGTAGCGAAGACCAAGATTGATCCACATTTCAAACAACAAGCCTTACTGAAATCCCTTCAGAAACTTTTGACAGCTGTCTTGCCATCATCTTGAGGATGGGAGTAAAGTAAACAGAGGTGAATGCGAACTTTATTCATTGTCAAGCTGTTGATCATTCGGGTAGTGTATGTTGTATTAAAAGTGACTTTTTTCGAGTTCTACTGTGATGTCTAGCAAGGTTTCTTTATTTTATGTAATGTTGCATTGGATAATATAAATCAGTTATGCAATGCTTTCTGGTGGTATACCGTGAATATTCAACTCGTGACTTAATTTTTCTTTGTATACACATTCGCCTAAAGGCTCGTGTGTATACTTAGCAAAATCAAGTCACTCGTGGGATACTTCACAGTATACCACTTGAAAGCATACTATTGCATCAGACTAGTATGTATAGCATTACAGGTGTATAAGCTTAATTTACGGTGTACTGATTAAATAGTTGTCTATAGAATTGGTGTTTAAGTGAGAGTGAAATTCCAGTGGCGGATCCCGGGGAGGGGGGGGGGGGCCCTGGGAGGGCCGAGGCCCCCTTATTTTTAGACCAAACTGAGGCCCGAAGAGCCGAAATAAAATTTATGGAGACCGCCGTCTCCCCCCCCCCCCCCTCTTATCTAAGGGTCTGGATGACCGAGCCCCCCTTGTCTCAAGGTCTGGATCTGGCACTAAATTCTTATAGTGGCCACAAGTCCTTTTCAAAGCCAAACGAAAAACCCAAGCCTGAAGGTCAAAATTACAGGGGAGCTCATGCAAACATGGATTATTTAGGTGGGGGGGGGGGTTACTCACCTATACATGAGTAATGTCTGTACACAGGCTAACATGATTTACACCTGTGTAAACTTGTACGTCGTTTCAGTTACCCCCGGCAATACCTCTGTTATGGATTCTAGAGGCCAAGTATAAATATGGGTGTGGAAAATAGCATCTTGGTAAGGCTCAGGAATTGGAGAATTATGAGGCACACCTCCACCAACAACAACAACAACAACATAAGCTTTATTTGCATGACCATAACAAAGTATTACAGTATTGCAGAAGCTACTTGAAATTACTCATTGATTCCTTGTAAATTAAATATTTAAAATAATTTGAAACTTATTAATCATAATTTGTTTATTTCTAACCATCAGTAGGATTAATTATTCCGGAGATAAGTTTGTCTCTCAATTCAAAGAAAGTTGATATAAATGAAATTAATTGGATGTTAATAAAATAGTCAGTACAATTCATCAGATGTGATAATAGGGACTCATGTGATTGTAGTCGTAGAAAGGGTATTTTAGGTTCTAGTTTAGAGAAGAACATATCTCTTATCGAAGAGAAACTTGGACAATCTAATAAAAAGTGAGTTTCGTCTTCAATTCTGTTACAATTGCAGAGATTGCATAACCTTTCGCCACGTGGTAGATTGTCGTATCTACCTGTCTCAATCCTAAGTTTGTGACTGCTTATTCTCAGTTTCACTAATGTTTTCCTAGAAGGGTTCTTTCTTGTTAAATCTAGGTAGACAGAAGGGCTATAATTCGTTTTGATTTTATAATAAAAGTTAAGTTTTTGTGAATGTTGAAGGGTATGATTCCAGTAAGTGATATATTTCTTTTGCATAAGATCTACATATTGCTTAATTTTACATTTATTCAGTAAATTACAATTAAAGCCTGGGAAATCATAGTCGTCAGTCATCTTCTTAAGACTGGAGTAAAAACTATTTTGGCCACTATGATAAAGGTCAACAGATATTTTTAAAGATTGTTTAACTATAGAATTTTCATCTTTTTCTTGGAGATAGTTTAAGTAATTAAGTATCTTGTTATTTATATCAATGATCAGAGGGAATCTGCCAAGTTCAGATCTGCATGCAACATTGGATGACTTGTTATGGACTTCTAAATATCGTTTACAGAAGTGTAAATGAGTTTTTTCGATTCCGGAGTTATCCCATGACTTAAAATCTGATTTCACAAAGGCACCCCAAACTTCACTATTGTAAGTTAAAATCGGTGAGATCATTGTGTCAAAAATTTTATTTGCAAGCGAGGGTTTCACTTTACTAAAATCAGTGTGGCGTCTTAGACTAAATAGAGCATGAAGGGCTTTTTGTCGAAGATGTTCAAGTGAGAGTGTAAAATTTCCGGAAGACGAGATGCGAGTCCCTAAGTAAGTATAGTCTTTTACAATGTCTATCATTTCATTGCCTATGTGAAAAACATAATCACATTTTTTTGTGCCTTTTTGGAAAACCATTATTTTGGTTTTCTTGGGGTTGATTTTAAGCATCCAGGAGTTGCAATATGAAGACAATTTGTTGAGGCAATTTTGTAATCCTAGTTTCGATCGTGATAATATAATAAGGTCGTCAGCATAAAAAAGAGAATTGAGTTTGGTGCCATTTGGTAGCACAAACGGAGCAGATAAAATATTGTTGAATGAAAAAGCTAGATCGTTAACGTATAGGTTGAAGAGAAGAGGGCTTAAAATGCAGCCTTGACGCACACCTCTAGTGTATTGAAAAGGATGTGTTTGGTTATTTCCAATCCTAATAGATCCTAATAGAACAGGTAGAGTTTGAGTATAAACGTTTTATGACTTTATAGAAGTTTCCTCGGATATTTATTTGTAACAGCTTGTATAAGAGTCCATCGTGCCACACCGAATCAAATGCTTTTCTAAAGTCCACAAAACATGCGTATACTTTCGTTTTGTGACAGTCAACGTATTTGTCAATTAATGTTCGTAGTGTAAGAACATGGTCAGCGGTTCGATTATTTGCTAAGAAACCTATTTGAGATTTATGAAGTATGTCACGCGACTGAATGTGCTTGAGAAGTCTTTGATTGAGAATTGAGCAAAATAGTTTCCCAAGACAACTAGAAATACAAATTCCTCGATCATTTGAGGGATCACTTTTAGTCCCACTTTTAAAAATTGGTGTTATAAGGCCACCGCACCATGTTTGAGGCATAGTGCCTGACGTCAGAACAGCGTTAAATAACTTCAAATAAATAGGTATTAGTTCATTTAAGCTGGATTTAATCATTTCATTTTTTATTCTATCTGAATATGAAGATTTGTTGTTTTTGAGTTTGTTAGCCGCTGTGCGTATTTCGAGTTCAGTTATTAGGTAGTCCAAAGCATGCGATTGTGTTGTTGCGTCTTCTAAGTTGTTAACTCATCGATAATGGCTTCTTGGTGTGAATTAAGAGGCTCGTTTGAATGTAGTGACTGGAAGTGAGACAACCAACTTTCTTCTGAGATTGGCGGGGTACTAGTTTCCTTCATAGAATCATCCATAGATTTCAAGCAGTTCCAAAAATTTCGGCTGTTTGAGTTATCTATCATGTCTTCTAGTTCTGAGATCTTAGTATCATAGTATTCTTTTCTCTTCTGTTTCAGAACGTTTTTGTACTGTTTTAAGACAGTGTGATAGTTTTCCCTAAGCGTAATATTGAGAGGATCTCTGTGTTTTAGATTAGCAAGTTTCCTCAATTCGTGTCTCTTAAGACGACATTCTTTATCAAACCATTTTTTGTTAGACGAAACAGAAGATAATCTAGTATATCGTCTTTTAACGTTCTTAATTTTCAAACAATGTTTTGCGGTTGCAAAAAGAATCCTTTCTACTGCATCGAGAGAGGAGTTAATGTGTTTGTCTGGTCTACTGTCAACAAGAAAATCATGTATCATTCTCTGTATGTCTCTTGTTTGCATTGCTGTTTTAAATTTTTGTGATGAATCATTTTCCCATATAAACTGTTTGGGTAAACGAATTAATGTATCATTGGTATTTTCTGTAGCTAAGTGGGTATTTACCTTAGTAATGTTAAGCCATGTCATTATTGGACTGTGATCTGATAAACTCGACGGCTCTTTGACAACAAAATTCGCGATAGAGTGGAATAAGTCTTGGTCGCACTATGCATAGTCAACAACACTAACTCCTAATTTACCATGAAATGTTGGCCTTCCCAGCGAATCGCCACGGGATCTACCATTCATAATCGTTAGATCTGCACTCCTACATATTTCTAAGAGTAGCCTCACCCACCGCCGCCTCTCCTCCCCCCAAAAAGATTAAAAATTAAAATTTAAAAAAAGGTGTATAACCCCTACATGCTACTGCTAACCCCTACTGCTGCGAGTCGTTTTCTTCTCTCAGCAAGGTCTGTTACTGAGGGAGTAATATAACGAGTCGAAGTAATTGGATGAAATTCAGGCCACTTAAACCCACGTTTTGTGCTATTTAGCAATCTTTTGATCTCATATCTCCTGACTTTACCTATACTGACGGAAAAACCCAACTGAATAGAGAAGACTGGGAATGGTTGTGACGTCAGTGTTCTATGAGGCTTGGCTACAAAGTAATACAAGCGGGAGTTCGAGCGTAAAGTTCGAGCGAGGACCGCCAGAACAAACTACCGGCGGCGTCCCTAAAAATACAACACTAAATAATGAATGACAATTATTAATGGAATGTAGTTGTCGTTTTTATTAATTTCTTCAAACTCGTTGGTAGATTTTGGCACTTTTTATCAGCATGATCAACGTTAGCTACATCACTGATGTTTTGTACGGAGGAGTGGACTTTAGTTTGCCGGGAAATGGAGGATGGGAGTGCGTGGAGTTCTTGACTTCAAAGCAACGAGTAATCGAAACAGTGGTATACGAAACTTTCACCCTTTTTGTTTTCTGGAAAATGCTTGGACGTGTTTCTATCCCAAGAGAATTGCCCGCTTATAGGGAAGGCACTGGAGTTGGAAAACGACTTCTCTTGGTCTTGCTGTGTTTAATTTTTGGGATCGAAATCGGTTTCAAGTTCGCCACCAAGCAAGTCATATTTCTTCTCAATCCTTGCCATGTCGTTACGGCCATTCAGGTAAGCTTAATTTCCACATTTTTTTCAAAGTTGAGTGTGAGCTTTAACTTACATCTCCGGCCCTTGAAAAGAACGTTTGATCGCTCGACAAACGATCGCGCGACACGAGTGGGCTAATATTGCATTTTAATTTCCTTGTCCTCCCGGTTGAGGACTTACCTTTGCATCTTATCTCTGAAGACTTCCATAAAATGTGGGTCTACCCCTGAAGAATATAGGTCCTACCCCTGAAGAATATGGGTCTACTCCTGAATAATTTCGTGAAGAATTCTAAATGTTTATACTCTACCCTAAAGAAATCCTCCATTTTTCCGAGCGAAGCGAGGGCCCAAAATCGCGAAAACGATTTATAATCTTGTCGCGCGCGAAGCGTGTTGACCCATGTACTCTTAGCGGCGTGCGAACTTGGCTTGCCCATCTATATATATTTGTTTGTTTGAATATATATATCACTCATTTTGGGATGGTATCGGCATCCAGTGTGACATCATGCAGCATATGTAGTTCCTGTTCATGGTTCTCCTTGTGTTTCATTCATGTTTTATTTATCGTCTGTTAAAGAAATTTTTATACTATCGGTAAACCACAAGCAAATTCCTTCAATGCAAATGACCCACAAAAGCAAACACAGTGACTCTGGATTCAAAAAGTGAATACAAATCCTCACTAGGGAGAACTTCTCTGGAGCAACATCAGATCACGAAATGAAATTTAGCGCGAGCAACAAAGAAGACAACAACAAGAACAGAAACAAGAAACCAAGATCTCTTTGCCCCGCGAAGAAGCCATCAACAACAGACTGGGAAGACCAGGGGAGAGGCTACAGCAGCTACAGACACATAAAGACAGCTGTTATTGCGGTGTTTTTTCGCTGCCTCTAAATTCAATTAAATTAATGCAGAGGGACAAAATACAATGCACACAAAGTCCAGGAAGAGAAGAAACTGCAGACGCTTCGTGAAAATGCTGCCAATACACAATGGATCCGCAATGAAAGTGATGGATCAGTTGAGGTAGTGCATTCCTGGAAGTTTGTGGTTGAAAATTAGCTTATATGTTCTTCGATGCAACGATAGGCAGCAAGAATTAAACAATCTGTAAAATACATGTGAGCGATATGTTTCCAATGGACTGAGCTAAGAACTGCCTATCATTACACATTGCAACAACAGGTTCAGAGTGATCTGAGATGGAAAAATTCACTGTAAGCTTAGTATGTATGAACAATCTTGAACATAATGTGTGACATGTAAGCACACTGTAGAGAAACATTACATTTGTGAACAAAGTCCTACATAACAAAGTTTTTATTTGCAATTTCAGTTCATAACCTTTAAATTTGTCCCAGTAACTATCCCATATAAAATATTACAATATGTTGCAGCCTGGGACATAAATGCGGCTGTATCTTTTAAGTGAAGCATAACAAATATTAAGTATTGCTTACCTTCCATTTCGATTCTATTATACAAAAAGAACATCTGCATTTCAGATCTCCTCAGAATATTAGTGTATGACATGGTGGTCATACTACTTCATTGTTTGCTAATATGAAAAATTCGTCACAGAAGTTAAACATGTTCGATTGGCGGAATGTTTTTCAAGAATTGGAAATTAAACAGCAAGCAGATATAGGGTTAATGTTTCCTGTAAAACAAATCCATTCTTCTTTTTACTAGTGGGATAAATAATCATGTAGTATTCATGTATGATATTTCTACATGTAATTTCTATTTCAGTGATTTTTTTTCCACCTTACTGTGTATACAAACAATAGTTGTCAAGTGTGATTATGTACAAAAGCAAGTGCAAAAGCTCTCATTGCTGTAGTCCACTAACAATAAATTATAAATATTTTTTCTGCAATAACCAGTGTTCACTTGTTGTTTTCACTTCAGCATTATTCCTTCCACTTTATCTCATTAACCCTTTAAGCTCCAATATCCACATACAAATTCTCCAAACTGATCACTTTACATTTCCTTAAAGAATGTTTTGAGAGAATTTGATAAAAGATCAAAGCATTTTCAATCAATTGAGTTAACCTAATCTCTGGATATTTGAGGGAAAATTGATGTTGGTCACCATTGGGACTTAAAGGGTTAATTTGATACCCATGTAGTATTGAAAACAACTATATCATTTTAATATTCTTGACAATACATTATTTTAATTATAGGAGATGACACAAGTTAGCTGTTATTAAGCAAATGCCACCACATATTAGCCTGCAGTCATCCATGCACTGTCGTACCCATTTTTGTAAAGAGCTTGGTTGGTGTTCTGGCTGGGGTTTGAACTCACAGCCTCCCGGGCTGGGTTGTTCAAAGCTGGGTTAAGATAAACCAGAGTTAGTGCGAAATTTGAATTCAGATTTGAAAGATTAAAAAGTAAATTCAGTTGAATTCTTTTTGTCTACAAGTTGATGATTGGAAGCTCTAAAAATAACAGAGAAAATTATTGGAGAAAAGGCTTTTGAACACAAGAAAAAGAAACCAGGGTTAAATTTAACCCTGGGTTAAGTGCTAATCGGCCTTCGAACAACTGGGACCAGCTCAGCAGACCAGCATGAAAAGGAGAGCTTGCAACAAGGTCTCAGGAATTTGAATAGTCAAGTTTTTAGTTTGTCCTGACTACTGAATAAAATCTGTGAAGATGCATTTTTACAGCGTTAGCCTCGATTTGAAGTCTCTATATTCACATATAATTCCAGTGAGGAGAACGCCTGTTTAAAATGCTGTATATTCAGGGCTGTGCTCGGCCTCATGGGCTGTTGACTAAGAGCCCATTCAAGCTTGACGAATAATTGTTAAGTATGTATATTTTTACAATATTTAGTTGTAGTTTTTGAAAAACCCTTTTTCCTCCCTTCGGCTTTCCTGGTGCCCAGGTTGCTTAAAAGTCAATGATAGTTAAATATACCTCCAAAGTGAAACAAATCATGCTTGACTGGTATTCATGGAAATTCATACTGTGCAGCATATCTGGATAGAATGAAACCTAGTAAACACATGACAAATTTAAGTGTCGATGGTGTTTAGCTTCTATTATTGAGGAATACTCTGTACTCCCAGGTAGAGTAAAATGTATGGATCAGGAATGCCATATATAAACCCATTTTATAACAGTGATGAATCAAATTTGTTTCTCTTCATGGCACTTGGTAATTGTCTGTATGATGCATATGTATCATATGGTGCCTCCATTAAAGAGGCCTAATTAAGGTAATTAAATTCTGCAAATTAATGATAGGTGATTGAAAAATCAACATAAGTCAGATAAATTTATTAATGCAATTTTGAGCAAAGTTTTGAAAGTCTGTTTTGTATTTTATATTTTTTTTTGCAGATTTATTTGTTAGCAGGTCCGCCAAGTAAACGTGTTTTGTGTGTATTTAGGTAAGGACACTGTTTACTTGATGTTAAGGCATCATTACTACTACTATAACTCCTTTCAACCGGGGGTCAATTTAATAAACCTTTTACAGCTGTAATTTACAAGTGTAGCTATTGTTCTCAGACTCTAAAACAATGGCTATATTTGTAAATTACATGTGTAAAAGTTTTATTAAGTTGAGCCCTGGATCCTTCAGGGTTTTGCTCTCTTGTGCAAATTAGGGCTTTTGACTTTTGTTGGTTAAACCTCTTATATATTTATACCAGATTTAAATATTTAAGAAAAAACGAAATGAATTGCGGTATAGCAACAAGAGTAACAAGATGTAATTATGCAAGTGGCCTATTACTGTAATGCTGTACTTCAAAGCCAACCTTGGTTTTAGGGTCACACATTGTTCCATCCCACTCTTGCATTATGGGGAAAATGGAGACCTTTAAGTAGCTTTCATTTGAATTGTCACATTGAGGGATTTCACGCACAGACCCATAAGTTAAAACATGCAAGGGCCCTGTGCACTGAGCCTACAAAATATGATACCACAGGAGAGTACTGCTCAGTAGCTTTCTTTTTAATTGTTGATTCTTTACTATTTCCTCGTTGCTCTCAAACTAAACAGTGCAAAGGTATTGATCAGTAGCTTTCATTTGAATAGTCATGCCCTCAAACTTAATATGAAAAGAGGAAAGGAATGCTATTCCCGGACTCGGCGTCATATGTTGAGTTTGTTGTTGGTTCTCTTCTCTGCTCCGATGAACTCCGGCGTACTCTTTCCCCTCCGCAAAAACCTACTTTACTATATATTTGAAGCCCTTTATATTTTAATACACCCCTGGCTCGGGACACTTTGTTGCAGAAAACCACATCTTGATAAACGAGTTCTGAAAATTTCAATAAAAGACATTAACCCCTATGTCGAGGACCAAAGAAAGCAAAGGCTAACACAGGAAAGTCAGTTAACAGCTAATCCAAAATTTGCAAACCTTATCAGTGTAGTCTCCAGGTGTACATGAAAATGACGCAACAGTTTATGCAATATGAAATGTGAAATCTATAGGCTTGGCGCTTATACTACCCACACACCCACGTGGGAATAACATACCACGCTAAATTAGCATAATATGCTAACAGCTCTGAACCTTAAATTTGACATTACTATTAACAGTAATATTTTGGGATTTTCATCCACAAACTTAAATTTGGTATCACCTCTTATACCATAAGAATCATCATCACAGGGATGCCAAGATAGTCATGGTTAATAACCTTTGTACCTATTGTTGTGAGATTTCTTACCAGATTTTATCATCTATTTTTTTGCCAACATGGTGCATTAACTTAATGGTATTTTCATTTGCAGAGTTCAAAATTATTTACTTTTTGGTGCACTTCAGGCCATCATATTCCCGGTAGTAAACACTAGACTGGTAAGTCAAAAAATGCCATGGTTTCCATCAAACCTGTCCTCACAGATGTCTTTGTATAATACATTGCAGGGTCCTAAACTTCTTATTGTCTGTTCCCTATTGCTATATTAATAATTATCAATTTTAGGACACCTTAGTAATGAAGCCAGCTGGGTCTATGCCTTTGTAGTCTGTGTCAATTTTTTTAGTTTAGTTTTTTTCTTTTTAGTTTAGTTTTTTTCTCTAGACCCTTTCTGTTCAAGTGAATTTGTTCAATTCCAGTTTAAGGGTTAAGACTGATGATTTCACAAGCAATACAAGGGACGTAGATCCTCAAGGGTGGATATGGGCAGTTCAGAATTTTGAAAAATTACACTAATAAACCATTATTAAATCATAATATAAAATTATTTTTTTAAATTTTATTCTTTATGCAAAGTTCTGTTTTTTCTTTGGTTTTCAGTTACCATTTGAAGTTGTGACATACTGGCTATCCTAATTGTATATCCTAATAACAATTGTTTATTCCAAAATTTTTGTTTTTGCTAATAACATGCCAAGGTTAGTAATCTGTTCAAAAGCCGGCTTATTCATTCAAAATAATTTGATCACAAGTTTTGCTTGGATCCAATCCCCAATCGCTAATTCTAGATAACCCGTTAAAGTCAACTTTTGTTTCCTAAGAGGTCTGTTAAGATGATTGATGGCTTCAAAATGTATATTGCCTAATAAACCATCAATCAACCTGGTTTCCTGGCAGTGGTGCAGGAGCCTTGGTGTAAACTAAAAGAAAAATTGGTGTTCACACCTCTGCAAAGACAACATTGCCTAAATGTAATAGACCATTTTTGATATACAAGGGGGGGGAATAAAACAAAGAAATGTATTATTCATAATTGAGCCTCAAGATGATTTCTTTTGTCTTATTCCCTCAAGCCTCACCGCCAAGTATGAATTTTAACATAATTTATCCAAATTGGTCTATTACTTCAACTAAAACTAAATGGAAGAATGTACTACCACAAAATATGTGTGTATTTATTGCTCAATGGATGTCATCTACTTTTAAGGAGTATCTGCAAGAAAAAAAACATCTGTTTATAATTATATCTTGAAACAGTGCCGAGAAACAGGCAAATGTTTAAGGGGTGTCTACAGATAGGTTAGATTGTTAAGAACTTGGAAATACTTTGAAAGATAATAAAACCGTTGTTGTCTTCAGCATTTGAACTATGTGAAGAATAATGTGGAGAATTCTTCACATCCTACTCAGCCACTTTCAATAATATTGTTAATGATAATTTGTCCTGCTATTAGCCATGAGAATTTTTAATACCTGCCTAAAAGTGATGCCTTATTATTAAATTTTATTATTTTATTATTAATTACCAAAAAGGAACATCACCTTTAAGCTAGTGGTTATTACAAAGATTCCCCCCAACAATTCCATTCAAGCAGATTCACTGAAGAATTTTGTTTGAGTTATGCCTACTCTAGCTTCTAAATTTTATTTTATATCATTCCTTTTAATACAGGGCCATTTACTTTAGAACCTGTGTGGGATTTCACCTGGGCAACTTTGACGTTCACCTTGTTTTCATTCTACATGCTTTTGTTTCTTCAGCCGTTAGGAATGGTAATAATAACTTTATTTTTATATTATTGGACTGTCTTTAACATAAACAGTAAATACAAATTTAACACTTAAGTGGAAAAATTTCATAATTACTTACTGCTGAGAACTTTGTCTTTTAGGAATTTAGGAATTGATCTTTTAAAGTACTCCTTTTTTGTAGTCAAAATGACACCTTCTCACCTTGTGAGCAATTTATTTTGTATCAAAGATTTCTGCATAAACAAAACAACTTTCTTTAATGTACCAAAAATGTTTTGGCGGTCCATTGTCATCTTCAGTGTCATATAGTGTGAAATTGCCATTGAATGTTGAGGGTGTGCATTGTTACAAAGTTTGTCACATTGCATTGACATTATTGCCTGCTTAAAAGTTTATATTAACGACGTTAAAAGACATACAGGGAGAGATGTCATCATCTTCAGTGTTACATATTGCGAAATTGCCATTGAATTTTAAAGCGCACACAATGTTACAAAGTTTGTTATATTGTGTTGTCAATATTCTGTACACTTACAAAGTTTATATAAGTGACGTTGAGGGATTTACAGGGAGAGATGTACCATCGAAACATGTCTGTTAAATTGAAGAAAGTTGTTTTTTTATGTGGCTATCTATATCTGAGATTTGATTTTCTTTTACAGATCCTTCACGTGAACCTCAATAACATGATGTGCCCTGCACTCAGTGATCCATTCAGTGGACCATATTACAGAATTATTGCCTGTTGTCATCAACCAGCTTTGATGTTTCTTATTGGAAAGGTTTTTTGTATCATTGGACATGAGTTTGTTACCCTTCTGTACAGAACACAGCAAGAAAAGTTAGAGTAGATAGAGTATAAAGATTAATTTGTTATTACGAGAATACTCAGAGGAGTGATTAGCCTTCCCATAAAATAATATTAGTCCATTCTAGGATCTGTTTAATCTGTAAGAGCCTAGTAATAAATTATATCTTACGCTGAAGATTTCACAAGGCTAAACTGATAAAAAGGGAAAACAGCAGAAACTTAACTTATATTTACACTCAGGCAATCTGAAGTGAATTCTTGTATATATTCATGTAACAAGTATTACAGGAATCATAACTTATAATCTTTTAGATGTAATTTCCTTTCTTTTGTTGATGGGAGAAGCAGTTTCAAAACTGCTAAAAATATGCATTTCTAGCACTTTTTTTCCCTCTCCATTTTAAGGAAGCATGTTATGTAGATGGTTTTAGATACATGTGGATAGAATTCTGAAAATGGGCCCCTTATGTCACTTCCCCCTTAAGAATCTTAAAAACGGCTTTTCAAAAAGGAAAGCTTTGGCATTTTTTAAAACATTTCCGTTTTTCTCAATATTACTGAATAACATTAATAATTATTGATACTTGAGACCAAAATGTCCAGCTGTAGTAAGATGACAGTGCATGTGTTGAAGGTAGCTTGCTGCTCCTGTTTCGATGGTGTAGTGTAATGACAGCCATAGTGTTTCTGCAATCTTTGGTGATATGGAGAAGGTCTCGGGGGGGTTACGGGAAAGGGGGGGGGGGGGGCTGGTGAACCATGAAAATTTTTGTGGGTGTGTTGTGAATATTTTTAGCACAACACAATAATCATGGTTACTATTTGTTCAACTAATTTCGATTCTGTGAAAAATTACTAACAATTTGTTATGAACTTGATATAATTTTAGTTCACTAATTTCTAAGTTAAGTACGTTATTATTTTAATTTTGAGCTTGTAAATTGTATAAATAGTTGAGTACTTTCAGCTAAGCTGTAAAGTTCGGTCTTTGTGGTGGTTCTTTCCTAAGCCACATGAAACCCCAACAACTGAAGTAAACACATAAAATGTTTATCATACAAATCAGTAACAGTGAAACATTGAGTGCCTGTTATTCATTTTCAAGTCGGTGCATATAAAAAGTGGCAACAAATTATTTTTTCCCTCTTTTTGTTTTTGTTTTCTTTCAAAAAGCCCTGAAACCTTATACTGTTTTGTGCGAAATAAATTGACTTGTGCTATAATTCGACAGGTTTCATGTATTAGAATTAGTTATCAAGGTGTGAAAAAATAAAACCGGCTTTTGAATGATAGTATTAAACACGGGAAGGAGTCTTTATTCGAAATCCAGATGATGAGAATTAGTGGGTTGATAGAAACTATTCACCGATGCGTTTTTTTGTAACCGACTTTAGTCTATCTGGGTTTGATAAAGCTTCTCAAAATTATGTCTAAAACATTCTTCAAGTTCTTCAAAGGAAAGTTCTTAAACATTTGTTGCTTAAGTGTAACTACAGTTTTTCAAACAATAATGTATTAAACAAAAACTTCATCTGTGTTCAGTGCCAAGTTTCTCTCATGAAGTAGTTTACACTGAGTGCAAAGTTAACAAAAACATGCAGCCTTGAGCTTTTCTTTGTTGTGCAAAATTTATTTATCAGATCATAGATTATGTTATTTATATGATTTAAGAAAAATGGTCATAAATAAAGATGAGCACGCTTTACTTGTTCGTTTGGTTTTTATCTCGTCTCTTATGAATATTAAGGAGGTCGATAAACAAATACCAGAAACTGATTTCAACCCCTTATGGGTTTCTGCAGATACTAACAAAGTTACCACAAAGAATAGAAACCGGAAGACTCAACATCCACACAGCGGGAGCCCATGACCTGATCTGGGATAATAAAGCTGAAGGCTTTCTGACTTAGAGATTACTATTACAAGCTGCAGTAATAACCTGGGCGCCAGAGACTTTTCAAGCGTAGTTTTTAGGTGTTTCGGTTTTCCTGTTTGCGGCTTTGGCCTTAGTTTCCTTGCAGCCATTTTTGTCTCGTCACGCAACGCTCTTCCCCAGGAAAAGCGTTGCGTGACGAGAAAAACAGGGCGCTGGAGACTACTTCGTCCTGTCAGTGTGGCCGACTACGAAGCAACTCGCGCGCCGAATTCGAAAAAAAATCCTTAGATAACCAGGGTATTGCAACCTGGGCTTGGTGGAAGCTGTGTGATAATATCAGACCTTTTCTATTTCCAGTGATGGGTTGGAGAGAACCCTTGGAACAAGGTTAACCAGTGTTTGATGACGTCAACTAACCACCTTGAAAAGATTGATAAGCCGTGACTAGCAACAAACACTTCACTGGCTATGGCTTACAACAAAACAAGCATTTAAAGCATTTCAGAGATAGAATTTACTTCAGAGCAGAAAATCTTTTATTGAAAAAAATAAGTTAGGAATCTAACCATCAACGTTAGGTTAGTGCTGTATGAACGACTTTCCCCGGGGCGACTTTACACAAATTCTGCAACTTTTTTCACTTTCTGACTACCCTGCGAGCAGAGGCTACATTTTCGCGGTATGAGATGGCGTGCGAAAAGTAGATCATACCGCGAAAATGTAGCCTTTGCTTGCAGGGTACTTTCTGACAAGCTTACAAAAGTCAGCAAGCTGGTCATTGAGGTCAGGACTATTTAACAATTATTCCTCGAGCCCGAATGGGCTCTGAGTCAACAGCCCACGAGGCCGAACCAATCAAAACGCAGCATTGATAATAGATCACTAGTTGGATTTTACTAAAAATAATTATGAATCGTTGACAGTGAGTGATAGCCTTGTGAGGTTGTTCTAATTGAATGTGCAGCCACAAGAAAATCCTTTGCTGTGACCATTCAAATGAAACCTCTTTCTGAAGTACTTTCACAAGAAGCTAATATTATTTTTCAATATTGCGGAAGTATTAAATCATAGATCATTAAAGATCCAAGTGTCTAGCTTAGCACTGTGCAGTACACGACCTCCTGAACGGCACGGGTTTGCCTCAGAGTTCCTTGTTCCTTTGTTTGCTATTTTCACCTAAGAGAGGGGAGAGTGGTCAGGGACCGAGAATTCGGGTTCTTTCTTGCCTTGTCCTAAAGGCCTAATTATATTCATGATATATGCGTCTCGCTTGGCCCGAGTTCGTCTCGGCGGAAGAACAAACGCCTCGTAAGAGACCAAAGGGTTATATAACTTCTTAATTTGAATTAGCGCAGCACATTGATATTAACTTGCCTAGTCCCTGTGGGGAGGAGCGTTGCGTGACGATACTAAAAACGGCTGCGAGGGAGATTACGTCTCTTCAGGCCCTCTCGGTCAATGCATTTCGGTGACGTATCCGAGACGAACGGCCGGGAGAAGCCGGGAGACGGCCTCAAAAACTTTCTCGGACCACGTGACCCGAAACGCATCGGCCGCGCATAATAATGAGGCATAGGGACTAGGCAAGATATTAACTATTATGTAATCGCTTTTTGACAAGACCGTTGTCTAAGTAACGGGAACATGACGGGGGGAGGGGTTGGCGGAGAAGAACGTTCAAGACAGTCGACACTGCGTGAAGAGCAATAAGGAATTGCTCGTGTATTTTCAATCTTATCATGACCGGGGAAGGAGTGTCACTATTCATTTTCATTTCCAATGCAATGTACATTTTTCGTTTCTTTTGCGGGCATTTGCGTACAACTCAAAACTCACTTAATTATGTCTGCATTCATATTTGTCTTCACGGCTCTCTCATCTGTTGAAAAAGCGAAATTTGGTCGTTGATAGTAATAATTAATTGCATTTGCAGTGTTTGTAAATTAAAAAAAAGTAAAGGAATCTGACGTGCCTTCCGTGAAAAAAAGAGAACATTTTAACCAATCACTTTACCGTATTTGCGTCACGTGACCAACCTAAATGGCGGTCCTTCCCTCTCGCTTGCCTCGTGTTCAAGTTTGATGCATCGATAATTGCCTCACAAATAAACTGAATTCAGAGGCGTTTGCAAGGAGAAAAATACCGAGGCAAGTATATTTACAATTTCCAGTTTTGAATAACGAAATTCCTGATTAGAAAACCGTAACTCGGCGACTGAAACCGACTTCAGCAAATAATCTGTGTGACTGATTTAGCGATGGCGTCTCTTCCGTTATAGGTAATACTGAAGGCGATCGATTTCAAATTGCTTGAAAATGTCCTTTGAAGAAGGAGGAGATCTCGCTTCCTTTGCTGCTATCGCTGAATCTACGATTGCCAATAAGGAAGGTAGGTTTTAGAAGAGTAGAATACGACTATTAAAGCTAAGCAAGTAAGCTAACTGTTCCCCTGGTCGATCCGTGAGTAAGCTTCATTTCGAAACCGTTCCTTGCTGTAAACTCGCTTACAAACACTACATCTTCCTCACGATACTTTGACAATGTTTTAAAGACGGTCTTGCCGCGAAGCTAACGTGAACTTGAGGAAAAGTTTTGCTGTTTTCCGGGACCCAGGCCTTCCGACCTCTAAAAGCAAGTCCCAGGTCTTCAAAAGATTTTAGCGTTATGGCCGTCGCCCCAGACTTCTGACAAAAACCTTTCCCAATCTTTCTCAATCTTCACAGCGTAAAAGGTTTTGTTTAGATGATTCTGTGGATTGTTCATTGACCAGTACTTTTCGCTACTTTCTAAAGACATCTGCGTTGTGAATCGTGTATGTGATGTACGAAGACAGCCTTCTTTCTTCCCGGCGAAGCTTCAACTGTAGTATTGCGCGTCATCACCCAATTTACTGAGTTTTTCTTTGAGTAATCGTGGCTTGAAAGGGACGTTGAACAAGAAATAGTTATCGGGGGTTTTCAAGGAAGATTCTATTCTGTAAATCTTGGACCGTTGATAACAATAAACTAGAGCGTATTTACAAAAAAAGGTACAGCGTGAGTTTTCGTGGATTTCAGTCGCCATTTATAAAACTTATTAACATAAGATAACCTTATTAAACATCACATTACAGCACAGTCTGATGTTTTCATATTTTAATGCATGTTTTGTGTTAGCAGTGTGTGTAAGATCCGATAATTCTCATTTTCATGATAACCTTACAGTCGTATAATCTGTTTTTGTTTTTGTTTAGATTGAGGCTATTGTTTTAAATGAAACCTCAATATTTTAGCTTAGGGAAGTTTCCGCTGGAGGATTAAGGCATTTTTCTGGCTAAATTGAGCAAAAGGATGACACTTATTATATGTATATATTAGTTGTATTTAATATAGTAAGAATAAACTAAATACAAAACAGGAGGTAAGGTGTTGATAACCAAAAAAAGTCACTATTTTGACTAAAATAAGTGATATTTACATAAAGTACCTAATGTAGAACATTTGCATTACATATTTACTCTGAACCTAAAAACCCCAAGTTTATCTGTCAATATTCACTAAGAAATTATGGCAAAAATGTTAGGAGGAATTGTTATAAAATCTGTTGCGGAAATAAGTTGGCAAGCATTATGCATCAGTCAATTCCACCTGTGCCCAGGCCCCCCCCCCCCCATCCCCGGGCTGACCCCCGGGAATTAGCATTTTTTTTGCCTTACATGGCAAATTCTCAGGGGTGGGGACTCTTGAGCTGGCAAATCTCCCAGGGTAGGGAAGAAAAAAGAGGGCAAATGCCCCGTCCTCCGTCAACAGTGCAACATTTTTTATTGAACGCACACTCAATAGTGCCATTTTAAAGTGCGATTTTTTGTTTCAATTAATGTCTTCCTTGGTAATAGCGCTAGGATTCTAATTAAGACTTCACGCCGCGATGACATGCACCAGTTTATGGTTTTAGTATTGATATAAAATTATTGACATTAAAATTAATAGAGCGCTGTAAAGTTATATGTTATGAATAGATTTATAAATATGAAAGGGTGTTCTTCAAATAATAACAACAGAAATTTGATTCAATAACCAAAAACGTTGATTCACATCAATAGCTCCAATTTCGCTATGTAATTCTGGCTTGATAAGCAATGAAGAAATGCATACAAACATGTAAAATCGAGAAAATGCCTTTATAACCCTCCACGATTATTTATTCCTGTCCTTGACAGATAAGCCAATCTGCTTTTTTCCAGTCAAACCTTCTGTGTAGTTGTATTCTGATAGGAAACCGCGTGCGTGTCAAAAGCTCGCGAATGGCCCGGGGGTTGGCAAATGCCCGGCCCCCGGGCAGTACAAAATTTGCAAATGCCCCACCCCCGGGACTGACAAGGCGGGCAAATGCCCCGCAGTAGCCGAGGGGGGCTGGGTGGAATTGACTGATGCATTACTCCAATGGTACAAATATTATTAATTTCTTGACTTTCTGATAATATTTAAAATTTCACAAATAAGCATCCCTTTGTCACGATAAAGAAACTATTTGAAGTTTACACCTCTTCTCACAGCAAGAAATCTATCTTATTTGGGCCATCACTCTCAAAAAAAATGAAAAAATTTAGTTATGTTGTGGTGATGTTACACTGAATGATTTCTCAAGAGCATTTTTAGCGCAACAGAGTATTGCCATTGGTCTTGGGGTGTACAAACATCACCTTTAATCTCACTTGAAAAAATTAATCTGAACACTTTGTAAGGTGAAGCAGTATATGACAACAAATCATATGGACCTGACTAGTGCAATCGATAAAGTTAAGAATCGATAATACTCAATAACTAATTGATAAAAGCCATTGATTAAATTTAAAATCGATAGAGGAAAAACTTGTGGCGAATTGATAATTAACAATCTTCATCAAGTTTTGTCAGAGTTATTGATTTTAATCAGCCATAAAATTTCCATGTGTTTTAACAGTTAACACTGGCAAAGAACAGGATAATGTTTCTGGAACAAAAGTACATAATTTATGTGGTTTTAGACTGATACACTTGTAGAGAGATTCATTTTACAAATTACACTCAAAATTGTAACAAAACATTTTCAAACCAACAGGATAAAGAAGGGGTACAAACCCGGGGGGGGGGGGGGTACTGCCATATATGGGCTATATAGGTATGTGCCACTGTGAAGGGTATGGTTTTCAAGCAGTTTACTCTAGGATAGGGTATATAAATCAGAACATTTGGGTCTAGAATAGGGTATCATTTTTCAGGAAACTGATCAGTTGGTTGAAGATTTTATCTAGACTAGGCAAACAGTTGCTCTAGGACAGGGCGGATTTGGGAAGTTTACTCTAGTATAGGGTAGCAAAATTTAGCTGAACTAGCTCTGGTGTTACTATAGGTTAAGGGTTCCAGGGTCCCAGCTTGCTTGCACTGGAAACAGTTCAAGTTGAAACTTATATTTCACGTGGTGATGATACTGTTTTAGTGTACAGTACATGTCAGCGAGACCCTTGTTTCTTCAAAAATCATAAAAACGTATGGTAATGCCAATCACTAGCTCTTCGCAAGTTTTTCAAACAACGCCCAGTTTCCAAAGCATCAATTATTGGATTTTGAACCTCGAAGGCAATGAAAGATCATGAAATTGATAATACCGTTAAAATCAATAAAATTGATAGCGCTAACAACGAAAAAAAGTTGTGGCCATTGATTTAACTAGTATTTTCCCAATGCATATATCAAATTATGTACTGTTCACTAACACAATTTACTTATAAGTCACATCCGATCTGTTAGTTTCAGCAGAAACTGTTGAGGAAGCCACTGATGCCACAAAGAATCAGGAAACTACTGAAACAAAAGTAGAGCAGGAGGCAGCCAACAATGAAAGCAGTGAAGAAGTCACTGCAGATCCAGCTCCAACTGATCAAAGTGAGAAAACGACTGAGGCGGGAAACAGTGAAGAAGTTCCTGAAGCTGCTGAAACAACAGAGAACAGTACTGTACAGTTGACAAGTGAACAGCAACGCACATATGCTAATCTTCAGCCTATATTTCTAGCCATGGAAATGGGACAAGATGCAGTACAGGTTAGTCAAGGAGAGGAACAACATCAAGAAGCTACCGGCTCTACTACTGAGGAGATAGAACAGCAACAACAGCAGGCATTTATTGCTACTTCCAGTGAGCACTTTACACAGTCAAGCCAAGCTGCTAGCATGCTGCTTAGTAATGTAGTTACTACCTCAGGCACTGAACCGCCAGCTTCATTAGCATCAATTCTTCAAGATGTGGTATCTGGTATGCAGAGTGGTGCAGGATCTGTTCCAGCTGCTATAATAACAGATCCTAACTCTGGCAGTGGTTCTTTCCTGATTGTCAATCAAAATGGAGTGCCAATTGTGCGACCTGTCCTTGTTTCAAATCTTCCAGCTGGAGGTGTTGGCCCAGGCGGAGCAGTCAGTGTATCTGCAGAGACTCTTCAAGTGTTAACTGCAGGTCTTCATACAGTTGATGATGGTTCAGGTGGTGGTCAAGAGACAGTCACAGTAGACGTTGGTGCTACTGAAGCTGAAGGTAGGTTTTCTAAGCAAATTTATGCAATAGAGGGATTTCTGTATGACCTTGAAAAATTGTTATTTGCTTCATTAGCGAATACTGAAAATATCAAAACCTTGGGGGTTTTTTGCCTACATTTTGTAAGATGGAGAAAAAGCATTGTTCAATTGTGCAATTGATCACTGAATGTACAATACAGTATGTAATGTATGGATTAATTTCTAGAAAGTAACATTCATATTGCAATCAGTGTTCTCCTCATCAGGCGGTAACTGGTAAAATTTACCGCTTGAAGCAACACTTCTTACCGCTGCAACCTCTTGAAGTGTTACTAAAATTAAATAAATTGTTTCAAAGAATATGTAAATAGTGATCCAAGCCGATCCCCTCAAGAAAAGGAAGTAGCTTTGTATACTTTTTGTTTTTCCGTATTTACTCTTCCTAATTACTATATTTAAATGCTGACTGGCCTCTTTCAAAGCACTGCAGGATAACGATTTTTTTGTGGGCTTATGTCCCAATTCTAAGCTTTTTCGACCAGCAGCTAAAGTTCGCGACTTCCGCGACTTGTGTTGCTAAATTGACCCTAGCGGCAAGGCAGCCTTCATTTGTAAAATTCTTTGTTTTGAGGAGTTTACTGCCAAGCTAAAATTTAGGGAGAACACTGTGCAATGTATCATGAAACGGAAAAAGTTTCAGACAATGTTTCAGGAATACTGCCGTCATCACTTGTGGCAAATGTTCCATCCTAAAGGGGCTGGAGTTTTTGTTTACAAGGAATTGAAATCAATATAAATTTCCCTTCTATTTTTCTTCTGATTTCAGTTGGGTTGGCACTAAATATTTTCAGATTTTATATTCCACTGTAGAATGAGCACTGGGAACTTTTCTTTTCCCCAAATTTTATTGTCAATGTCAAATCAAATTAAAAGTGGGTATTTCTCTAAGTTTGTAACTTACATGTAGGTGCGACTGCTGCAACTGGCGAGTTACCAGTAGAAGCTACCGTTGATATTGGTGCTGATGCTGTTGCCATGGTAGCAGGTGCTCAAACTGTGTCTCAAGCAGTTACCCACAGTGGTGCAGACTTGGATGAAGGAGAAGAGGCTGCAGCTGCCTTACAAAGTAAGATTATTAGTGTTACAGTTAGATGTACAATGAAATGGCCATGCACATGCTGTGTACCCTATGAATACAGCCGTTTCCCCTTTTTCGTTGCCGCTTGGGACGTTTCACCAGGAGGAACATCTGTGTATTAGCAACAGAAATTCCATACTGATGACGTAAAATCTGTCCAGAATCTGGTCAGGAGCTCTGATTGGTCCACATAGTAGTTATATTGTTTTACCTATTGTCGAGGAATGACAGACAAAATGCCACAGAGGTCAAAATAATGTAAATGCAGAGTTCTTCAATAGAAGGCGGCACCCGGCGATTGATCACCGCTTACTTTGGGATTTATAGCCGCTTACTTTGTGTTTAGGTCGCTTTTCTTTGCTTTGTTTTGACGCCTCTGGCTTTGCTGAAGAGCCTCCTACTTTATCAGTGATCACCTCCTACTTAAAAATCTATTGAGAACCCTGAAATGGGGTCGTAAACTTGATGAATCTACTATAAAACAGTCAATATTCAGGGAATGTATTCGTCTATAAAAAAAAAAAAAATGTTTTGCTGGAGCTCGTTCGCAGTAGAACACAAAACTTTACTGTTTTCGACCAGGAGAAACATAAAATCAAACAAATTTACACCTGGAACCCCATGAATATAGATTTATTACGCAAACATTGCTTTACATCGTCAATATGGAGAGCCACAGACGTTCCTCCTGGCAAAACATCCCTAAAAGCAAAGAGCAAGGAGAAACGGTTGTATTCGCACGCTACATGCTGTGTACCCCTATAACCTTTGTTCTCTAGCGTATAAAAATTACCATACATGATAGTACTAACTATGCCCTATCTCTGGTTTACCCATTACCCATTACTGAGCAGTGTAAAAACAGTCTATTGCAAGTGACTTTAAATCTACCCTAAATCAACTGATGTGATACAACTCATTTTGACTCTGAAGATGACTGCCACAAAGCTTGTTGAAATGTCAATCACTGTCAACTTACTCCACCTACTTATGAAAAGACACCTGTGTTCAAACCTTTCATGGTACCCACCATAATACAAATTTTTCATGGTTATCAGTATTAGTGCTTACCGGTAACTCTTCACTTACGCATTAGTAACCAACTTCTTACTTCTCGTTATAATAAAAAACATAGCCTGCATAGCAGACACTCTAAACCACCTGTATAGAGTGTCTGCAAATTTGTGCACAGTATTGTGTTCGAATTCCATATAATTATCCTTGTGGCATTTTTGATTGGGTAGTTTCTTACGCAGTTTGTGGTTAGTCCGCTTTGAAAACAAATGTTGAGGCCAAACACAATAATTTTCATAGCTCGTGATAGTTTGAAATGTGACCTTAAAGTTAGAGGTCCTGTTAAGGTAAAATTCTGACAAGCAACATGGCCAGCCTTGACATAAGGCAAATGAAATGGTGACAAATGACACAAAGATGGCCAGTTGGAACTGTCTGAATTTTGTTGTTCTTGAGATAAGTGAGTCTTTGGAATGGCACATGATGTCCTGCTGTTTCTCCATTGGTAATTACTTATGTTTTAGCTTCAACAGTCTATAATGGGCAGTGCATCTGCAGCAATTGGAAGACATTGTAAAATGATCATCAAGGATTGTCCTTAACCAGTTGGCAATTTTACGAACACATTCTGGCCTTCAAGGAGTATTCCTTATTTTCCTGTTCAGGAAAAAGGCTTCAAGTTTGAACTGCTCTTTCACAGCTGTCAGTGCCCTTTGCCAACTTTTGACCTTCCTGCATCCAACCGTCATACACACATAAGAATTGAACCAATCGCAAAGCACATAAGAAACCTGCCTATCAGAAAAGCTCACATATACACCTCCTGCTGCTGAATATCAGGACGAGCTTTTGCGCACTAATTCGCAGATGGACTATAGTCTAGATGATTCATGGGCCTGCTGCAATGCAGGGTATACAAAATGCTGCTTGATCAATTATTAGTTTCATGAGAATAAAGGAAATGATCGCCAAAGATCAAAAACAAATTACAATGGATAATCTTTTCAGTTCTACAAAATATTGGAAGAAAAGTGTCAGGAATGCATGTGTCCATGTTGAATTTTAAAAGATTTAGAATGTTAATAAAAACTCCATCAGCCTGTGTAAGTTTATTTTGTGATCAATTGCAGAACCCATGGCTGCTACAAGGAACCCTACAGGCAAGAGAAAGTTAAGTGATGGTCCAAGGGTTTGTGGTCAGTGTAACAAGAGCTTTAAGTACCCATCGGATCTGAAAAAACATCTGCAGATTCACACAGGTCAGTGTTAATGTGAATGAATGAATGACTTGTTTATTGACACCTTTTGCAGCTTATAGCTGCTTTGCAGATACAGGTCAGTTACATAAACAATATATGAATAGGACACTAAACGTTAGCATATTTTTTATGGTAAAAAAATAAGTGATACAATCAGTATTAGATGGTAGGGTGGTAAATGATTAATTTGAACGTGCACATGCAGTAATCCGAAGATGAGTGAACAATTCTGCTTTGAATTAAAGGGAAGATTGGGTTGTCAGGACAAACTTTTTGACATAAGCATCTTCACGAAGTTGCTTTAAGCTCACAATCCCTGCCTTAGCCATTGTGTCTTTGTATGAAGTAAAGGGAATTTAGATAATGGAGAGGACAGGCCTCTGGATTTTCTCCATGTCATTGGTGAGATATTGGGGAGATAAGCAAAAGCAGCGGCTGCTTTTGGTAGATAAAGTTTGTAGCTTTCTGGGAACAAACTTTATTTGGCTGCATGATGAGCCAGCGAATTGTCTGTGTGCAGGATACCTATCTGTTAGATGGACACCTTTGGGACCAGTAGCAAGTGTCCATTTGAGATGGGTGTCTGCTTAACAGAGAGTTAAAGAAAAAAGAGAAGAATGGCTGCAGGGACCTACATTGCATTTTTAGGTTTCTGTCTAGCAGAGGTGTCTATGCAATTGTCCCTTTCATAAACGGTCACTGCCATTTTCAAGACACTATTGACATGTTACTGAGAGTGTTTCTACTAAAAATAAAGAAAAGTGCAACCCAGTGTTGACCTGGACCTTTTGTATCCTAATCTCTCTTTCTTACCACTACACAACCAAACCGACCCACAAAATTCCGAAAAGTTCAAGTTCATAAACTAGCAAACTGTCTCGCTTAAATGTTACATCAATAGCAGGTGACCCTTGCCCTTTCCATAACTTTTAATGTAAATTCAACTTAGGCTTCAAGGTCGTTGTTTCTAAGATTATTCAAAAACGTATTAGTTGCCTTATGGTAACCTAATCCAGGGAATAATTATATTACATCTATCAAAACCAAAGGCTTGGTTACCAATGGTGACATCGACTGTTTGAAATGGCAACTGCCGTTTACGAAAGGGAAATGGGAGGTGTCTATTTTATAGAGAGTGAAAGAAAAGGAATGAAAAAATGGCAGGGACCAGCTCAAGGCGTCCTTTTTAATGACATGTCTGATGTCTGCAAGGATTGAGTTGACTGTTTTCATGATTTTGGTCCAGTAAAAAAAAGTAAACATTCGGTGCTTTGACTAATCATGACTGTGCCTGAAGATTTTGTAAAAGTCTTCTGCTCATTTCTTGTTAAGTGTGCAGACGTTTTCTTTCGGTCAAATGATAAATCCTGTTTCACCGTTTTTGTCCAGATTTAGAGATTTAGAACAGTCAACTGAACTCGCTTTAATACGGACACCTGGGGCCGGCACTATGTGTCTGTCCTAGAGAGATTCATCTTATAGAGAGTCAACTAAAAGGAGTAGAGAAGACAGGGACTAACTCTAGGTGTCCCTTCTAGTGAGGTGTCTCTCTTATAGAGGTGTGTAGAGACAATTACTGTAACTTTGGGTGTGGCTTTGGGCGTGTTAATAGCTTAATTAAGGAAAACACAGTTTAATTCAAGACTTTTTGCTGTATCGCTTGTATTATTAGATATAAAGAAATTCAAGTGTGACGACTGTGGTCGATTTTTCCGTCGTCTGCATCAGTTGAATGTGCACCAGCGAATTCATTCTGGAGAGAAACCTTATGTCTGCAACAGGTACGGTAATTAACGGCGGAGCACATGTTCGTGAAATCTTTTGCCACATTCTTAAATCAACGGATTCTCCTTTAGAGTAATTGATATAACTTTATCTGTTTTTGATATTACTGACATTTTTTTAATCTGACATAAATAAACGAATTAATTGTCACATCTAGGATTTCATTCACGGACTCAAAAGCATTCGCTGGGACTGCCTTGTACGGTATATTGAACAATACCGTGTGAATCAAGCAATCGCTTTATTTGAATTTTCATCCTTTTATAAAACAACGACAAAGTTACTCCAGCAAGTTTTGTCTCCCAGAGTAAAGAAATCAATCTACTCATTCTCCACTATCGATTTCAAATCTTGCTTGCGAGGTTTGATTATATCCATTCAGCTTAATGGGCGTTGTTCTGAGATAAGCGGCCCGGCGTACAGTTTTACGGTAGGTTAAACCGCAAATCCGTATATCGTTGTTGATACAGCCCGTATTGATGCTTAATTCCATAGAGATTATTTCATAAGCCTAATCCCATGCTAATTTGACTTGTCCATCAGATAATCTTCCTATTTTACGACGCGGAGGTCTTAAATTGTTTCTTAACAGTACTAATTCAGAGCATCAATCGTCTTAGTTAATAGTGTGCTAAACTATAAACTCGCTTCTTTGAAATCACCAGAAACGCGTTCTTTTGCGCTAAAAATCATTATTTTCACCTATTCCCGTTCACGGGATGAAAAGCAAAAAGTAGTTACATCTAAGTGATGGAAAAGTTTCGACGCGGGTCACCTTAACATACTTGTATTTATTGTAGCGTGCTTAAGTAAATGATTAAAACATCATACAGAACTACTTAACAGAGTAAAACAAACAACAACAGATGAAATCATGTTGAAGTTCTTGAAGTCGACTCCAAATATAGAATTCGTTGCACGATTTTGGTCTTTACCTCCCGCAGTGAAATTGTTGATCTTCAATGTATTTACTTTCTCTCTGTGCACGTGTTTGACATGATCAGCTGTCGAAAATAAAAACAACTTCTACTTCATGAAGAAAAACAAATACCGGTTCCATTGCTTTCGTTTCGTATTTTGGGAGACTGAATTATTGGTCTCATCTCCAACCCCACCCAACCCCCCCTTAGTCCTCAATACAGCTCAGGACCTCGATTCCTGTACTTTAGGGCCTGTTTACATGGAGATGGGGGACCCCAGGTAGGTGAGGTAACTCGCTTAGGTGGGGTAACCCGCCTGTCGATATAAGCTCTCATATTAATTTGATTGCGTTTACATGATAGGTGGAGTGACCATATGAGAGATGATTATATGGAAAGGCGGGTTACCCCACCTAAACGGGTTACCTCACCTACCTGGGGTCCCCCACCTCCATGTAAAACAGGCCCTTAGTTTACACAGTACTACACGCAATCTTGTGGTGTAATCATACATTCAAAATGAACCACTCCGTAGGTACTTTGATATGGCTACAATTACTTTCAGTGTGTTAAAGAATAAAATGCGCGATTTTTCTTGAAGATAACCATTTCACTCCTTATACTAACTGAAATTAAAAATTTCAGAAAAATTCCAAATTGCGTAAAAACAAATGGTAGGTTGAAAAAGTACAGCTGAAGAGGTTAGTTTAAATGGTAACATCAATGGATTTCATATTCGAACTCAAAAAAATAGTTTAAAGCACATATCCTACCTTCTTATTGACTCTGTGGTTAACAAGCGTATTATTTGCATGCTTATAGGTGCGGTATGGCGTTCCGCCACGACTCCACAGTGACGATGCACATCAGGACCAGACATGATCACCTGCGTCCGTTTAAGTGTGACGAGTGCGGAAGCCTGTTCGGACGGTTGTCTCATCTTAAGAAGCACATCCGAAAAGTATGCGGCGACAACAAGAACAAAGAGAAACCCATCGCTCAATGCCGCTTCTGCGAAGTCACCTTCCCTACCAAGGGGGACTTAAGAAAACACTTGCTTACCTGCGAGAAAAAAGGTCAGAATGGTTTGTTATTACTGTTATAGTTACTTGACAAACGAGAAAAAAGTCAGAATGGTTTGCCATAAGTATTATAGTTACCTTGCAAACAAGCCTGTTTCCTCTATGGGTCAGCTTTATGCTAGAAGCCCTAATGCAATGGAAATAGTGTTATAGCATTTCAAGTTCACCGTGATGAGAATGGCGTTTATCACTCTGTTGTCCATGCACCAGGAAAAAGATGTGATAGGGATACTTGTGCGTACAGTTGTTTCTTTTTCGATAAACATTTATTGTTAGGGTATTCCAGAAATAGAAACCTTTCACACAACATTCAATGGTGTATTTTGTGACCATTTTGTCCTTATGCTAACTTGTTTTCAGAAAATTTACTATGATAAAAAATCCCACCAACACGGTTCATGAATATGGACCCACCCTGCGTTCTTGATGTACGCCTTGTTACGTGTGAGTTTATTTTTGTCTGTACCTTAAGAACATTTGTAAAACCCTGTTCCTTGAACTTGCTTGTGTTTTGTCGTTTTGTGCCCCTCAGAGGCCAAAGTGAAAGCTAAAGAAGTTACGCTGCATATCTGTGATATCTGTAACAAAGAGTTCGCCAGTCCGTACAACCTGCGACGTCACCAGCTCACTCACACGGACGAGAAACCTTATCAGTGCGAGGTGTGTAACAGGCAGTTCAAAGAGAAATCCTCCCTGACTAAACATATCAAACGCAAACACACTGGCGTAGACCAGGGCAGTCAAACTGACGAGACTGGCGAGCAAGAAGACGGATACGTCAATGTTGACGTCATAGCCGAATCCGCGGCGGCCAGTGGTGTTACCATGGAGACAGAGGAAACTGTTGAAGCAGGAATTGCTGGTGAGAGCGTTGAAGAGACGTCCACTGTGGATGCAAGCTCGTTAATTGTGGCAGATAGTCAAGGTGGCGGTCAGCAGGTGACAGAAGTAGTACAAGCCAGTGGAGAGGTGGAGATGGCAACAGTGGAGCTGAGTCTTGCTAACGGCGCTTCAGGGCACTCTCACGACGCGTCTGCTCTACAAGCCGCAGTGGAAGCCCTAGTTTCCGCCAGTCAGCATCAGTTAGCTGGAACTCAAGAACCCATGGAGGAAGGCGAGGCTTCTACAGGCAAGGAAATCTTCGAGGGTGTGACATCCCAGGATGCCGAGGGAGCTGCTGCACTTATGGCGGTCTATGTACCGGAAGTGAAGCCTACTGAGGTTAATCTGCAGGTGGAGTATGTACAGACAACTACTGAAGGAGACCAGGAAATGACGACAACTACAGCAGCAGCCACAGAAGAAGAAAGTTAACTGACTGTAGCTTTTAACAATACTTTCCTATAAGGAATTCCTGTTTTGTTGCTCTTCCGAAGCGTTTGTGTGCTGTTTGAGTTAACCCCTCATATGCATTTTTAATCAATTATGATTCGTAATCAATATGACCATTTAATGGGTAGTAATGTCTAGCAAACTAGAGGAGAATTTTTTTTTGTGCGCTGTGACTAGGTACTCACACGCTACGTTACTATGTTTGCTATTTTGAACCGAAAACGAAAAATCTGCCAGAATTTGGACTTTCGAACTATTCAGTGGATAATTCCGGCAACCAAAATTGAATGAAACGGAAAATTCCAGGAAGAAATTTTCCTAAACGTGAATTTTCCCCAGTCGCTTGACTGTCCGCTTTTTTCTTTTCCAAAATCTGAATAGAATGGATTGCACTCGCAAAATGCTCCATATTCATCCTACTGAATGGAATAGTCAGCTAGTGGTTTTTTATAGTTGGTATATCTGAAATAATTATCCACCTACACCTCGTTAAATCGTTGTTAATTATTTTCAAGTTGCACGTCTCTTATACGTAGCGTAAGGTAGTGTTATTTAGTGTGGGATCTTGCTTTTACTTACTTAGCTTTCGTAGAGTAAACACCCGCTAAGAAAAACCTACTTTTGTTCAGAAGTCTGGCAAAATGGATTCTGGAAGGAGATTATAGATTGTCGATTACCAGAAAAATGAATAAACTGTTTACTTATTCGTAATTTTATTCTTATAATCCCAACAAAACTTATTTTACCGAATTTCCACACAGTTTAGTACAGTATGTTCTTGTTATACTTAAATTTACTACTCAAAGTTACACCTCCTTAATTGGTTAAATTCTTTATCATAATAACCCACATATAAGAACCTGCTTGATCTTGCTTGGCTAAACAGGTTGTTGTATTTTTGGGTATTGAGGTGGCAAGTACTCCACAAGTTCTTATTAGCGGGTTTGTCACTTCTAGAACTGCCCTTTATTGTGTTTTACTCGAGCTTTTTGGATTGATAATATCTTCGGTTTTGAGTTCGCATGGTTTGTTTTAGTGCTTATATTTATTGTACTGGAATCAGCTTCAAAATGTAATTGTATTTTCCTTAATTCTTTCAGAAGTAAAACCGTACGTAGGAGTTATATTACCCAGCGTAATTGTTTTAAGCATTTTGCTTTGGAAATTGTGGGTGTAGATATAGTCATTTACGTAAGTCTACAGAATAAAACTTTGTTAGGAAGAAAGAGCTGGTTCCTCATATATCACTGAGTTGGTCAGAGCATTAAAAACTGTATTTGAACATTTACAGCTAACGCAAGTCACCGCCAAATACTCTATCCACTAGCTATCCACTCGAATAAGCGCCTTAACTTTTCACTACGGAACCCAAATACACAGTGTTTGTTTGAAGCACCTGAGTTCTTTGAACAGCCGAGGAAATTTGTTCTCATCATGAATTTTTTTGCTGTTTGCAAGAAGCAAACTACTTTTCAATTTAAACTATTGAGTTTTAAGGATTCTTAGCACTTTATTAGGGCTAACAGGCTCCGCGCTACTTATTTGAGTATAAACGGAACCTGCTACAGATTTTTTTGCCAGTGGTATATGAGGACCAGACTTGGCCGTGATAAGTTACCGGATAGTCTTACTTCCAGTATGTTCAAAGTAAAGGCAAATTGTGGAAAATAAAAACGAGCAAAACTACATCTTGAGTCGACTGGATAAGTACTAGCGGGTAGGTAGGGAAGTCAAGGCCTAGTACTAAGCGTGTGTACACGTCATGGGGGAAAACATATAACAAGACTTAAACGTTGAGGATGTCCTGGTGTGTACCTTACTCAGTTTCTGCAGTAATCGAAAGCATTATAAATCCCTAACAGCAAGTAAGTACGCTGAGTTGTCTCTAACATGAACAAAGGACTTCCAAGGCAAATTGGGTTGTCCAGGCCCTAGGTAGGAACCCGGGCTCCTGCCGTGGGGTAACTATGGTGCTCAGATAGGGTTGCCCCAGCGTTCGGGTGACCCTGCGGTATGTAGCATACAAAAGGCAAAAAGTGTGCCATGTGCCGGCCAGGCCTTATGCGAATTTTGCGATCTGTAGTGTACGGATTAGACTTTCAAAAAAGTCCTTTGTCGGATTTCATATGGCGCGGCCAAAAAGAGGCTCGCTCCGCTCGCCATGAGGTGGACTTGTAGCAAGTCTATCACAAGTAAGGATCGAAAAACCGTATATATACCCTATCTTGCCATGAAAATATTGTTTGTCCCACTATCTAAATGTGATGCATTTTGGGATCCTTACGGATCGCAACATGGTTTATACGGACCGTTACAGTGCAAGTATACTGGACAACCCCCCGGTGGCGGGGGGGCACTCAAGGGAAGTGTGGGAGAGCTGTGCCGCCGGAGCCTTAAAACCCTGACCCCATTTCAGACAAAAATTGCTCATTTTGCTACCCAGTTTAAGACAGAAGACATTACTTTCTCACCCTGATTTGTGTTGTTTTGCATACACCTGACATACAAAATTAAGTAACTTTTTAACCTAAAATCGTGAAAATAGATATTTAGGAAATATATTATTGGTATTGCAAATGTGGACCGCTCATGGCAAGTCTTATCACTCGATCTTTGAAAGGCTTCCAGTCCAAAAAGACACCCTATTCTGTTCAAGACGCTTAAGGGTGAAATTGCATACCCTGTTTAAGACTCAAGACCTTGAAAACCGTACCCTGCTCAGCAGCACATCGTGGTGGCCAAATAAGGGAGCCCCCCCCCGTGACAACCCCCACACAGAGTAGACTACCCTGCCTCCTTGTAAGGTTCCACTAGGATAGTTTGTTCAGGTGAGTCAGTCTTGCGCCGGACCCACTCGACTCGGCACTTGATTCATAATCCAGATGCAGTTGTTCATTCGTGAATAGGTGCTGTAGAGTATCTTTTTTGTTCATTCCAAAATTTTATTCAATTCTGATGTCATTTTAGACGCCCTTGGTAGTAAAGGATTTTTTCTTAAAGAAAGACACAGCGCTATCTTGGGACCGGGAAGCAGAGAATTACTTCCGGGCGACAGAAATTAGGATAGCTAAACGTAATCGAAGTACAGTCGCTCCTCGATAACTCGAATCTTCAAGGCAAATCGAAAACAGTTCGAGTTATCGGGAGTTCGAAGCAAACAACCCGAAATAAGAAACTGCAATGGGGGCGAGGAAAGCAAGTAACTTGCACACTTCACTTCAAGGGGGATATATTGATACTTTCAAAAAGAAATTGAGCAACAAAGCTTGATTAATATTTGAATTGGGCTGACAAAAAGGTAAAGAAGTTTAAAGAGAAAGAATACACGATTTTTTTGAGACTGCAGTTCGGTGCGTTTATTTTTTGAATTGTCTCGAGCTTACAACATGGTTCGAGTTATTGTGTAGACATGATCTAAAGGGAAACAATAATTACTTCGAGTTAGCGGGAGCTTCGAGTTATCGAGGGTTGGAGTTACCGAGGGTAAAAGGAAAATAAGTTTTCGGGAGTCGACTGTATTGTTTTACCATGACTGGTTTTCAAAATTTACAACAGTCGGAACTTGTCGACACGGATTAGCCGTATCATCGTCCTTGAATCTTGAATTGAAGCCGGTGAAGAACGACCTAAAATTAGAAACCGTTTTATTTCAATGGTCGTTATGGTAGACAGTTGCCGACAACCTACTAGAATTGTCTTCTCTGAAGGAGTTCATTATTGCTGAATGACATAAATGATCATAAATAAAAAAAATGTGTGAGCCCAACAGCATATCATTTTTTATAAAGTAAGGCTTAAGTTTCTTTTGAACTGCCGATACTCTATAAGTTTCAAAGATCAGAATAGGCGGGGACCGTGCAGGATCTTATTAGCTAATTTTAGTCACCCTAAAGTCAGTAATTTGCCACTTGAGCGAGCGCCTGATTGTTTAATATTCAAGTCCCAATCCTGAATTTGGCGTTCTCATATGATCTCTGACCGACCAACACTACAGTGGTCTGAGTGGTGTCTCCTGGTAACCTAACAGTGACGTGCTTCCCGATAGTTTTAACTATCGGGGGTTCTCCTTACTTCTCATGGATAGTTGGAGGATGTGAGTCCAGTCAGCGATTCTGTGTAGATCTTGTGTGTTATAAACACCTCGACTACGAATGATAATTAGATAACTCGAACCTCCCGCTAACTCGAAGCGGTTTTTGTTAGTCCTCAGATGATTTCTATATAATTTTACCCTCGATAACTCGAACCATGTTCTGAGCCCTTAAAAATCGGGGGAAAAAAAACAGTCTACTGGCGTCCCAAACATTGAATTTTGAATTTCCCGTTAACGTGTTGCAGTGTTGAAGGCATATAGGTTACTAAGGGAGGCTGATGTTGTTTTACGTCAACAGTAAAACGCATGTTCTATTTAAGAAAGGTTTTGTTATGTTACGTTCTGATTTATTCTCTAGAAGTATCTTTTACTTGACATTTCTACAATTAAATGTGATTAAATTTGATTAAAATGTTCACTATGCAGTAAGAACTGTTTTTCCCTTACTTCCGGCTATTTTCTTCGAGCTCCGGAGAACTCGAACCTTTTTCGATTTCCCTTGAAGGTTCGAGTTATCGGGAGTCGACTGTAGTTAATTTCTCTTTTCATATGTAATTTTAAAAAATACTAATGATATCCCTGGTATATCGGAAACCACGCGGAGCACTGTCCCTTGACAAGACAAGTTGTAGAGGCCCTCTTAGGGGGTTACATATGTCACTAGTCTGAATTTCAAATATCGTTGAACAAGCCTAAACATTTGACCCAATCCGTCAGCTTATCGAAGTCGCTGCACTTTTAATTTGTCGTAGTGCCAGGCTTTGCTATCAATGGCTTGTCTAACTTTTAACACTGCGGTACACCCCCTATGATGCAAAGGCACCGTGGTTTAATTAGAGTTGTCACCATCCCTTAATTAGCTGAATCATCCAGGGTGGCGAAAAGGAGTAAAGATTGAGGACGCGTGCACACATGAGGGTTGAAAAGGAGAGAAGGTCTCCTCTGCCCCTCTCGCGTCCCTCTCACGCACACTATAAAAATAACCAAAAAAACTAGCAGCTAGCCTAGTTATCATGTTGCCACATCGTTGTTTTTGAGAGAGAACTACCTGTTTTTAATTTGATACTCAGGGGTTTTCCAGGCCAAAAGCCGCCCGCCAATGGGTTACATGAGAACAGAAGTCAACATACCTTTTAGTCCCTAAAACAGCATTGCCCCTAAGTATTAATGACTCAGCTTTTTACTATGAGGACTTCTGTGGGTTAATCAAAACATCAGTTAGCTACACGTAATGAAAACCACACGTTCGCGGCTGTTTCTTCCACAAAGAGCAGACCTGAGGTAAGCACTAGAGACTCGAGGACACAGAATCGTGTCTGATGTGTCTGCATTAAACTGCCTGCGACATTGAATCATGGATGTGGTTCATGGATCGTTTACCTCCACTGATCATTGATGCGCCTTGGCGATAAAAGATATATTTTCTTTTTGTTTTACCTAGGAGACATCTTTTTCATCCCACTGTTGGGTCTCTTTCATTTTGGTTTATTCAAACCACAGCATAAAGGTGCAACCGGACGTGACACTCAAAACCTGAATTTTTGTGCGCGGGCTTTAAACCGGTCAAAAGCGAGTTAGCTTTGTCGTTCGCGCCAGGGGTTAGAAAATCAGAAACTCTAAGGTTGCTTTTCAGCGCAAGAAATCGTAAGTTGTTAATTTTTGCGGCTCTCGCTTTTGCCGCTTATGTCTATTCTAGGCATTTTATAAAGTGGTCTTAGTACCATTATTGTATCGACCGCAATTGGGATACTTTCATAGAAAGCATAACTCTGCAGTAATTGTACCCTGTCTTTCATGTTTTCTGAACGTCGAGCACACTGTAAACTTCAAGGAATGGCTCAGTAGAAGTCTAAATGTAAATTTTAACTCAGTTTTTCAGTGATAATCTAGAAACGTAAGCACACTTTGTTTTTAGTACTGAGGTTTTGTTTTCTGAGTTAACGAGATAAATTATAGCTTTTTAATTTTCTTAAATTTATTTTTCAGTTTAGATCATGTATTTCAAAACCGCAGATTTAAACCGTCCAATTGATTTTAAATTTGATCCTGTTT